GGAACACCACTTGTCACTGGCTTCCACTTGGACGTTGATCGTGGCCATCTAGCTAGTTCTTTATCCACTGAGTGGTCCATCTGTCAAATCCATGACTTTCCAGTTTTGAGACCAGGATGTCATGTTGGGACAGTGTCAGACGCTTCACATAAGTTCAGGCAGATGACATCTGTTGCTCTGCCATTGTCTCCCAGTGCTGTGGCAATACCTTAAAAGGCACCAAATTTGTCAGGCATGATTTGCCCTTGGTGAAGCCATGTTGGCTGTCACTGATCACCTCCTTATTTTCCATGTGCTTTAGCAGTGTTTCCAGGAGGATCTGCTCCATGATCTTGCCAGGCACAGAGGGGGGACTGACCAGCCTGTAGCTCCCCGGGTCTTCCTTTTTTTTTCCTTTTTGAAAAAGGGGGTTATGTTTCCCCGTATCCAGTCAGTGGGAACTTCACCAGACTGCAGCGACTTCTCAAATACAATGGGAAGTGGCTTAGCAACTTCATCCAACAGTTCCCTCAGGACCTGTGGATGGATTTCATCAGGTCCCATGGACTTAAATACCTTCAGGTTCCTTAAATTGTCTCGAACCTGATCTTCTCCTACAGTGGGCAGTTCTTCATTCCCATAGACCCTGTTTTTGCCTTTTGCAACTTGGGCGGTGCAATTAAAGCCCTTCTCAGTGAAGATCAAGGTGAAAAAGTCGTTTTGTCTCAGCCTTCTCTATATCCTGAGTGACCAGGTCTCCTGTTTCCTTCCAAGAGGGCCCACATCTTCCCTAGTCTTGCCTTTATCACTGACATATCTATAGAAGTTTTTCTTGTTATCTTTGATGTCCCTGGGCAGATTTAATTCTGTCTGGGCTTTAGTTTGACTAATCTAGTTCCTGGCCACTCAGTTTCTCTATGTTCTACTCGATCTACCCATCCTTGCTTCCACCCTCTGTAGGCAATTGGTCTACCCATCCTTGCTTCCACCCTCTGTAGGCCTCCTTTTGATTTTTGAGCTTATCTAGGAGTTCCTTGTTTATCCATGCAGACCTCCTGGCTTTTTTGCCTGACTTCTATTTTGGGATGCACCTCTTCTGAGCTTGGAGGAGGTGATCCTTGAATGCTAACCAGCTTCCTTGGGCCCTTCTCCCCTCCAGTACTTTTTCCCATGGAACCCTTCCAAGCAGATCCCTCAAGAGGCCAGAGTCTGCTCTCCTGAAGTCCAGGGTAGCGAGTTTGCTGCGTACCCTCTTTGCTGCCCTAAGGATCTTGAATTCTACCATTTCGTGGTCACGTCCTTGGTATTTTATATTTGAACAGGCTTTCTATAGTTTCTTCATGTCTATTACGCTATTGAAATAATTGAAATGACTGAAATATAAATTGTCTGAAATATTACTTATATTAATATGTGAGCCTGATGACAGTCATCTCACCCAATTAGTAACATAAGATCAAATGGTTTCCAGTCATTGTAGAAAATTTTACAGGTTTCTTTAATAGACGGATTGCTTAAAGCATTACTCATTTTTAATGTGAAAATGATTGATCCTAATTACTGTCCATTGTGTGTTTCACTTCATGATTCATAATGTAATTTAGAGATAGGATTCTATAGCAATTACTTAAACAGCAGATACATCAAACAAGCAAAAGTCACCGAATCCTTACTTCCTACCTCTCAGCCATTTCTTAAGCCAGTATGTTTAAAAATAAGTCTGTCTTCACCCCTGAAAATTCAGTGGATGCTGTAATTCTTACAAAATTATTATGAACACTTTGTTAATTACCTTTACATCTAGCTATAAGGTGCTAATTGCAGGACCCCCTGTTAGTTCCATTAACATCAATGCTGAAACTCTTTATTTTATTTTTCAGTGTAAAGGTGGAGTTTTAGATACGTTTGTACTTAATTGTCAGTTTGTACTCGTTTTTCCTGAGAAATACTAAAGGAGTCTGGTCCCTTGATTTCAGAGTGTATTTCTCTTGTATTGATTACACTCATAAAACATCAGCTTTTGACCCACAAACCATTTCATAAAGATGCTTCCATTTAAAATCAAAATAGAAACAAAATATAAAAATCAAGTTACATTTCATTTACATTTTCAAATTAGTTTTTTTTTAAAAAAACATACCTGGCAAATCAACTAGCAAAACCACAAACAGTAATAAATATATCCAAGCAAAAGGATACAGACTCTGTTGGTTTTATCTGCATTTGATAACTTCAATGTTTTGAAATGTATTAAGGGAATACTTTTATATTACTTGCCAGATTGCTGGTAGCTAGTTTTTTCTCCCCAACCAATAATAGTAGAGTAAGATTCTGATTAATGTAGTATAGGTTATAGTAATATCTTAATCAGAGCACACAGTCTTCCAGTATTTTTCCTCTTCATCTGAAAAAGCAAGTTATAAAAGAACAGATTTTCATTTCGTAATTGAAAGTACCACAAAATAAGCTTTCAAACATGAAAGGGCAGATGATTAACTCTTTGCCTCGGGTTAAAAAGGGTAATAAAGGCAGGGATGAGGGGGTGGCTTGGCAATACTGAGTAATGAAGACTGATTTTTCTAAGTTTAGATGTTCTTTGCCTTGGGTTTAGTTTCTGTTTCAACACTTACTTGGAGTCTGCCTGATCGGAAGTTAGTAATGGCATCTGTATGCCAGCTGTGCGGTGCTATGGGCTTTCCACATGCTTTGGGATTTTGATTTCAGATAGGGAACTATTTGCTGTTTGTGTTTAAAATTAAAAATTAGAACTTGTTCACTTTAATCTCAGCACCAGGATTTTGGTTAAAACCCAAGCTTTCGTAGGCAAGTTCAGTCTCTTGTCAGAGCACGTCTGTAGTGTTTACCAAAGTAGTGCTCGATATCCGGACTTACCAGATAAGATGTTGTCACTTTCAATTCTGGGAGATATTTTGCTGTTTAGTTTCAAGAGGCCTTGACTCCCTCCTTTCTGGCAAAATTTTGTGTAGTAATTCAAGGGGGCTCACGTATTCAGTTAAAGTTGGCAATTAGTTGCATCTGCTAGTGAGAAAATATTTAAAAAACACTTGGGGTTTAATCCCCTTATTCCCCTGACTTGAAATAAGAGACAAGATTGGACATAGAGTCTCAGAAGCTAATAAAGATTGCTATTTAAAGTCTTTTCGTACTGATGCCCAACTTTAAATAGCTGCTTGTTAATTATGCAGGTAGCAGTGTGACCTGCCAAATCATAGCAATTAGCTAAGCCCGGCAGATATAGAGCATAGTGTAAAACTCTGTAAGGAATTCTGGGGAGCCTTGTAGCAGTCCAAGGAAATTCTCACACAGTGAAATCTTGGAATCACAAAGTCTATTTAAATACAAAATTTTAGTTGAGGGCACCTGAGTCCAGGATAAGGTTTGTTTACTGTCCTTAAAGTTTCCCTAGCTAGAAGAATGCTTAATTCAAAGCATGACCCTTGTGTGCCATTCTGCATCTCCTGAGACATTTGAAGTACTTTGAGGGTGAGTTCAGTATTTTTTGTGTATGGCAGTGGCATCAGAAGGTGTGTTGGGTCTGGCTGATGTTCCCCACTAGAATTGCCAGGAGGCCAAATGTTATGAGTTTTGATTCCATTCTGCCCTGGTACACGTATAGAACCTCCTAAGTGGTTTCAAAAAGCCTCTTTTTTTGTTGTTTGGTTGGTTTTTTTTAATCCAAAAGATGATTGATTTCCATTTGAAAGTATCAAACTTTTTTTTTTGGTCTCTTCCTCCTCCCAGCTGAAATGAGCATGTGGTTCTGGGCCTCAGTGTCCCACTGGTAATGCTATATTGAAATCCAAGAATCTCTAAAAAAATTTGGCTTTCTTGAAAAAGTATCTTTAGACTTAAAGTGTGTACAAGAAGGAATGTTCAGACCTGTTTTACCTAGTAGTGGGTTTTAATCTCTCTCAATAAGACACCTTTAAGGAAAGGATACTTGTTTGTGGTGGGTATTGTATTTGCTTGAAAATTTTTTGCTAAAGCAGAGGACACACTTTGAAGAGAGGATGCTGGAAAGATGTGTGCACTTTACCACAGTGGAGCAACTAGCCTTTCATGGTCACCAAAACCACAGAAATAACTTCCTATACTCTCCTGTGAAGCATCTGAGCAATATTTTTGAGAAATCTATAAAGGACTACATCAGTCTTGGCATGATTTGACAGAAAAAGAAATCTAATTGGACAGAAAAATTGTCACTGGACAGAAAAAAATGACATTCTTTAGTCAGTTGGAAAGGTAGGATTTTTAGGGCTGCAGATAATGCATTCTTCAATCTCAGGAATGGCTATTATTAGACATATCAGATGAGTTTTGTCAACATGTATTTTTTTTCCCACTGCTGATTCTGATTAGCTCTAGTTGGCATATGTTTCTAAATTTTCAGCTTGTGTGCTGTGCAGTTGTTATTCAAATGTATTGTGTAAATAAGATCGTGATTCTGTGGTGACCTCTCCAAAGCTCTGGTGATTAGAGAGGCTTCAGATCTGAATAGCTTTCCATATGCTGTTTAGCAGTATGTAAGTGGCCTGAATGATTTCCTTTATGATTGCAAAACCAGCAAAGGTGAAAGAGGATCGAAAACTGTATACCAAATTGCTTGTTTTCATTAATTGAAGACTGCTTTTGTGGAATACTTCCCTCTGTGATGCAAGCCAAAGTAATTAAAGGCTAGAAAGAGAGGAAGGGATAAAAGCTCTTAAAAATAATTACCACTGCCTGGTAGAAGTATACATATTTCCAATAAGCTTCAGTCACACTGCCATTCTGTTTGTTCAAGGCTTTTCTCCTCCCCTCATAAAAGCGTAATGTCTGTTCCTTTTTGGGAGATTGTTAATATCATTGTATCATTCATGTCACTATATTTATGTAATTTATATATTTGGATATTTTTCTGTCATAGACCATGAGATGCTCTGTGGTTTCACATAATTTTTTTGATTCTTACAACCTAAACTTGAGTTTTATGTAACTTAAACGTGTCTTTTGCTCTGTAGTTGATACTCCAGATCCCTATGTGGAGCTGTTCATCCCATCCGCCCCTGATTGCAGGAAGAGAACGAAACATTTCAATAATGATGTGAATCCCGTGTGGAATGAGACCTTTGAGTTCATTTTGGACCCCAACCAAGAGAATGTTCTTGAGGTAAATCATACAATCAGAATGGTTAAAGTTGGAAGGGACCTTAAAGGTCGTCTACATGGCAACGTCCTGCCATGGACACCTCCCGCTAGACAAGGTTGCTCAAAGCCCCATCCAGCCTGGTCTTGAACACCTCCAGGGATGGGACATCCCCAACTTCTCTGGGTAACCTGTTCCAGTGCCTCACCACCCTCACAGTAAGGAGTTTTTTCCTAATATCTAATCTGAATCTCCCCTCTTTCAGTTTATAAACCTTTGCCCCCTTTGCTGTATCACTATACTCCCTGATAAAGAGTCCCTCCCTGTCTCTCCTGCAGGCCCCCTTTAGGTACTGGAAGGCTGCTATATGTTCTCCACAGAGCCTTCTTTTCTGCAGAGAATTACATGGCTGAGCTGTGTCTGTGAAAATGAAGTTGTACAATGTCTGGAAGGTTAAAATAACAGTAGCTTGTACATCTATGACATCTGTTGTCTCCTCAAGATTACAACTTTCTTTCAAACATTAAAGACTGGGTTTTGCCTTTAGGTGTGGTGCTAAGCAAGAGGTGTTGTATAAATTGTATTATCCAAGGAGTAGCCTTGAAAGTCATTATAAGATATGTCTCTGAGTCATCTCTTGGGCTGCTCCTGAGGGCTTGTCACTTACTATTCTTCACATCAGCCATAAATTATTTTCTCTTGCTTCCTACACTGATTCAACTATTATGGGCAGTGAATAGGTGGGGATAAAGTCAAGTCTCTGCCCATTCCTTGCTTCTCCCTGAGGAAATGGAAAGCAGAAGCATAGTTCTGTTTCCTCTATGCCTGGAGCCAAGGGCTGAGTAGCCCACCCAGGGATATTTTGGGTGCTCTTGTTCCATGTGCAGGCCTGTTAAGTAAGTCACCATTAAGTCTCAGTGTGTTAAGCCTTTCTGGGTTGTGTACAAAAGGTGAGTGTTAAGTGTAACTATTTTATAAGTGGGCATGGCAAGCATTAAAGGTTATCTGTAGTCCTTTGTTAGCTTGATAGGGGATGACCCTAATGTGAGCTTACCTAGCTTCTGTCTAAATTGGCCAACTGGGACATAGGCTAAAGCTTATGAAGGTTTTCATTGAGCTAGTAACCATAATCTCTTGGGGTTATACTGTTCAAGATGTGAAAACGCAATTGTGCTTCCTACAAGGCTCCCTGCATTCCTGAGGAGAGGGGTATATTCTACAGTTCGGGGGAGGAAGAATCCTATCATCACCTCAACGGAGTATGAAGAACTATCTCATGCATCCTGCATAAGAGACACCAATACTAGGGAATTCACAACAACTTCACTACAGCTTTGCAGAAAGCAGATTACCCAAAATAGCTTCCACCTTCTTGTCAGGTGCAACAGTCCCCTGAGCTGATTCTTACTAAATGTTTTAATTGTAGACTTGCGAACTGGCCACTTGAAACTTGAGAAAAGTTTGAAATCTCTGACTTAGTTGTTGCTTTCTAATGGCAAGTCAGGCAAATAGGTGTCAGGAATTAGAAAGAGGAAACGAGTGATTCTGACTTCTTTGCAAGAGAGCATTTGTGGAAATAGGAAGAAGAAGAATGTGGGTTCATCAACCTGCCTTTGTTGCAGTATGTGGAAAAAAAAAGGTGTTTCTCAATTTTTAGCATGGTTCTTGCAGTCCTTATAAAGCACAAGATTTTATGAGCTCACATACTCTCCAGCCCAGTATGGCCATAGCATACTGCCAGATTCTGCAAGTCTCTGTCTCCTGTAACAGAACACAGCAAGATGGATTATAAATAGGATTGTAAGCGTATCTTCACATTAAGTAAAGGCTGCTGGTGGTTTCTGAGACACATGCTATAAATTTCCATGAAAAATGCCAGCTAAGAACCTCTGGTACCATGTAATGATGGCTAATTGTGGACATGGCTGATATATATATTTGCATACACATACATGTGTTGTTCACAGTAAACATTCTTTTCACCATGAAAGGTGTAGTCTTTAGGTTAAAACTGCTGTTTTTGTTCTGCCATTGTTGTACACACACACAGCGCCCGGCAGAGCTTTTGGATTCTGCATGGGGCAGCGTCAGAATTCAAATATGTGAAACTACCTCCCCACCAAAACCTCTTTGTGAATTCCCAAGGTCACACAGATTACACAATCCTCTTGACTCCTCAGATTATTTGAATCGAAGTCTTTAACTCTACCCCAAATGCAGTTTTCAAGTTTTCACTCAGAAACTCTCCAAAGTCCCATAAGAAGTGTTTGCTATTGCTATTGATTAAAAAACAGCCCTCAGATATTACAGCAATGGGCATAAAGTTCTGCAAGGAAATGGAAGAACTCATTAAAATTATGAGTTCTGTCCTAAAATACAGTTCATCATTTCAAAGGGTTGCTTGTGGCACAGAATGAAGAAGATTCTTTATAGCTGAGAAGAGGCTGAACCCAGATGTAGCAACTATTTATTCAACTGATTGTATCTTGATTCCATTTGTTTCATGCAACAGATATAGTCCAAGCCGCAAACATATGATCTTTTAAAAGATACAGTTCCCCAAAGTGGAAAAAAATGGTAAGCCATGCAAATAGAAACCATGCAAATGGTAATTTGAAATTTTTTCTGACTGTCTTACTTGAGAACTTGGAAGACTGCCACTGAGGAAAAAAAAAGCCTGTTTAATGCAGACACACATGGATTAGAGCAAAAGCACTGAACAATGTTCTGCGGTATCAACATACATCTTTGAATAGTATCACATTTTGAAAAAGTATATGCTCTAACATGGAGAATATGAGAAGATACTTGAAGATCTGGCTGGATACAGAGAAAAGCTTTGTGTAATTTGGAATGCTGTACATTTTGCCAAATCACTGCTATAAAAATCTTGGTGTGTAGATATAAGACTAGGATGTATGTATTCTATCTTCACTAAAAGTTGCTGTATGTTTTTTGGAATATCACATTTAAACCAGTTAACTTTCAATGATGTATTTGAGTGTGGTGGGTTGACCTTGCTGGATACCAGGTGCCCACTAAGCTGCTCTATCATTGCCCCTCCTCAGCTGGACAGGGGGAGAGAAAATCGAACAAAAGGTTCGTGGGTCAAGATAAGGACAGGGAGATCACTCAGCAATTACCATCATGGGCAAAACTGACTCGTATCGGGGAAATTAATTTAATTTATTGCCAATGAGAAGTCAGAGTAGGGTAATGAGAAATAAAACCCAAATCTCACAACCCCTTCCTTCTTCCCAGGCTCCTCTTCACTCCCAGTTTCTTTACTTCCTCCCCTGCAGCAGTGCAGGTGGATGGGCAATGGGAGTTGTGATCTGTTTGTCATATGTTGTTTCTGCTGCTCCTCCCTCCTCGGGGAGAGGGCTCCTCACACTCTTCCCCAGCTCCAGCGTGGGGTCTGTCCCATGGGAAACAGTTCCCCACAAACTTCTCCAATGTGAGTTTTTCCCACAGGCTACAGTTCTTCATAAACTGCTCCAGTCCCTTCTGAAGGGTGCAGTCCTTCAGAAACAGACTGCTCCAACATAGGTCCCCCCCACAGGGTCACAGGTCCTGCCAGGAGCCTTCTCCAGCATGGGCTTCCTACAGGGTCACACCCTCCTTCAGGGCACCCACCTGGTCCTGTATGGGGTCCTCCATGGGCTGCAGGTGGATCTCTGCTCCACTGTTAACCTCCACAGGCTGCAGGAGGACAGCCTGCCTCACCATGGTCTTCATCATTGGCTGCAGGGGAATCTCTGCTCTGGTGCCTGGACCACCTCTTCCCCCTCTTTCTTCACTGGCCTTGGTTTCTACATAGTTGTTTCTCTCACTCCTCTCTCCTGATTGCTGTTGCACAGATTTGGTTTGTGTTTTTTTTTTCCTTCTTAAATCTGTTATCCCAGAGGTTCTACCACCATCACTGATGGACTTGACCTTGGCCAGCAGTGGGTCTGTTCTGGGGTCAGCTGGCATTGGCTCTGTTGGACATAAGGGAAGTTTCTAGCAGCTTCTCACAGAAGCCACCCCTGTAGCCCCCCGGCTACCAAAATCTTGCCATGCAAACCCAATACAATAAGTTTCTCCACAGAGAAGTTCTATTGACTGGAAATTTGTATGATTGTATATTTTTATATGTATAATTTGAAGTTATTATGTCTGCTTAGAAAGACAGTGAAATTTACTGACAGAAAAGTGCTAGGATAAAAAACCCTTTGCAAATGATACTGTTGTACTCATGCAATTGAATCCCTTGAAGGTATACGTGAGCTTATCCTGTTTTAAAAGACATGTCTGTTGGGTTTGGGTGTTGACTGGGTTGGGTTAGGCCTATTCCTTTTCCATATGATTCTTTTTTTTACTTCAGGCATAGGCTGTGTGGAATTAAAAAGGGATTTATCAAAGCAGAATACCCGTGTATCTTTTCTAGGTTACTTTGATGGATGCCAACTACGTTATGGATGAGACTCTTGGCACATCCACATTTCCTGTATCTTCTCTGAAACTGGGAGAGAAGAAGGAGGTCCAGTTAACTTTCAATGATGTAAGTTGGAACGCTCATAGTTTTGCCTTTGTTGGTGCAGCTTTGAACATGATGGGAAGTTCTTAAAAGAGCAGCTGAACTGAGAGACCTAAACTATTGTGTGGACCAGGACATACCACATTTTAGTCCTTGGTCAAGTGTCTGAATTTTCTCTGTGCCACATCCTGCTTAGAGAAAGCTTCTTCACAAATCAAGCACTCAGCAAAGCTTGGTAGAGAACACAGGGGGAAAAATTCAGTGAATAAAGCCAAATACGCTCTGAAATTCGTAATCAAATGGTAAGGGAACATCAAGTCAGGTTGCGCCCAGTGTAGACAACTTGTACACACAATAAGCATTCCTGAGATTTCTGTGGCAATCTGTATAAGGTATAGAAAATACTATTTCCCTATTGGAACATTTCACTTCAAGGGTTTCTTTAATACTATGTGCCTACATTTTTTCCAACCATTGGATCACTGTATGGTTTCTGAAGTGCTTTCTAAATTAGTAATATATCAGGTGCTGGAATAATGTAATTACTACCCTGTCTTTGAAGTATTTCTGTAAATGACTCTTCACTCTGTTTCATATTCTCCCTTTGTTATTGCTTTGCCTCTTCTTTCTCCCGCAACCCTGTTACTAAGCTCCCTAATTTACAGTTCCCATTTCAGAGGGCAGGAGTGGAGTGCCAGGTTTTACCTGGCCTGGCAGCAGGTATGTGAGGTGTGGGAGGCTAGAGGCAGCTTTGCACTTCCATATCCTTAACTACTCTGTATAAGTATCAAGAAAACATTCAGTCTGAGGTGTTCCAGCTCCGTTCCTAGTGATCACGTACCACAATTGAGGACAATAAAATGCTGTACATGAGGCCGTTACATTCCTACAAGGCTGTACCAATGTGTTGGTGGCCACTGCATATGAGAGACCTTGGGGAGATGAAAATGCCTGTCTTAGTTCTAGCAACCTCATACACTTGAATTTTGCCTTATGTGCAATTGGTGCTTTAACCATCACATTTTAACCTTTTGCCTGCAGGCAAGTCCTTTAAGTGTTCTATGAAAGGCAGAGGAGGCCAACCCATAGCTTATGGGTCAGGTAGTTCTATGTGGTCTGTGACTGAAATCATTATGTAGTGATGTTTATTAGTTTACTTGCATCTTTCAGAAACTCTTAAGCAATCTCTCTTCCCAGTTGATAATTTGAGTATATTTAACTGTGGAAAGACGCTTGGGGTGGCTAATGTGGAACACAGAGCAGTCATTCCCCTGCAAGTATTTGTTTCAGATGCAAGTTGAGTATGATGTTTACCCTGCAAACTGGGAAGCAAGTAACAGACTGTGGCTGGCAGTAGAAGCAAAAGACCATAAATGTGTGAAGACAATTAGATCCCTTCAGGCCAAAGATGAATAACGCTGTCAAAAAGCGATTGTCAGTGGAAGAAAGCCAAGGCAATGAGATCTGATGAATGAAAGTCAGGACCTAGCAGCATTTTCTAGTGTATTCAGTGCTTGTGGTGTAGTTTAGAATCTCCTTGTGTGCTTTTATAAACAAAGTTCCGTAGAATGGAAACTTACTCAGAAATGTCCTCCATTTTAAAAAAAAAAGGTAATTTAAAGAAAAATTCTGACAGTAATAGTTTGTGTCCGAGGTGTGTTTGTGAGTTCTTTTCCCTCTATAAGTGGTGTAACCATATTTAAATATTTCTTGTTTAGGTCACAGAAATGACTTTGGAATTGTCTCTTGAAGTATGGTAAGTATCTCATCTTTAAAAAAAAAAATGGTGGAAAATGTATTAGCAGGAAAGGTATTTTTTTATATTACTCTGCTTGTTAGAATTTTCTTAAAAATATGTCAGGTAGAGCACAAAAAAATTGTTGTTTTAACATGAAAATACCAAGTACCGTAAAGCCAGGAAACTTTAAAATTGAGGATTATTTTCAAATTGTAATTCTAGCATTGGCTTAAACACCATTACTTGTACTAATAGGTGTTCGTTTTCCAAATGTTTGCAAGAACAAGACCATCATACATGCATTTCTCATCCTGGTTTATGTTATGTATTTTCCTTTTCAATGGCTTTTTCTCTAATACACTCATAGACATCAGGTTCAGCTGTTATCCTCATTATTTTCCCTTCTCTGGAAACTTTCCATCTCACGTTAACTTTCAGCATATATGGATACTCATTACAAAGCTGCCCCTGAAATGTATTTGGATGTTAATATTATGCAGCATTGAAATCAAAGATGATGATCTTAGATGGCCCAGGATTTCACCAGGCATAAAGCTAAGCATGTGCCTACATTTGGTTTTTTTTTCCTTTTGTATTTTTTTTCCTTCTTTCTAGATTTCTTTCTCCCTCTTTCTTAGCCTATCTCGGTGAAAGACTGAAAATCACCTTGAGGCATAATCAGAAAAATATCTTTTAATTCTAAAAATGAATTATGAAATTGAGAACAAGGTATTCAAAGAGTCTTATTTTTTTGTGTCTGTAACTATAAATAGCAGTGCCGAGCACTGTATCTGTAAATTTAGAACTCTTTCATAATGACTCTGAAGACTGACAAACATCCCCCAGGGATAATTTCTGCTCATGTAGGGTTGCATATGTGGGTGGTCCTTGAGACCACCCCTAAACATTCCAAGGCTTGCACATTACAAGTATTCCTTATCTCTGACACTACATGAACAGAAGATGTTTGGCTCTGTCTCGCTGCTCTTAGGCAGTAGTCATTGAAATATGTTAAATAAAAGGATCTGCTCCAGTTCTGCTCTTTTATTCTCGGGTGGCCGTGCAGATTTTGGATTCTACATGGACCTGTTGCTCATGGGATGATATAAATATATTTGTGGAACGTTGCTTCTAGGCAGTCCTTTCCCCCCTTTTTCTTAATCCTTTTATTTTATTACATAATAGGTTTTTAAAAAATGTAAAGAATTATTATCTGTGCCTAAATAGAATCATAGAATGGTTTGGGTTGGAAGGGACCTTAAAGATCATCTAGTTCCAACCCACCTGCCCTGGGCAGGGACACCTCCCACTAGACCAGGTTGCTCAAAGGCCTGTCCAACCTTGAACACTTCCAGGGATGGGGCATCCACAGCTTCTCTGGGCAACCTGGGCCAGTGTCTCACCACCCTCACAGGAAAGAATTTCTTCCTAATATCTAATCTAAATCTCCTCTCCCCTCTTTCAGTTTAAAACCTTTGCCCCCTTGTCCTGTCACTATGCTCCCTGATAAAGAGTCCCTCGCCATCCCTCCTATAGGCCCCCTTTAGGTACTGGAAGGCCACGATAAGGTCTCCCTGGAGCCTTCTCTTCTCCAGGCTGAACTACCCTAACCCTCGCAGCCTGTCTTCATAGCAGAGGTGCTCCAGCCCTCTGATCATCTTCATGGCCCTCCTCTGGGCTCGTTCCAACAGTTCCATGTCTTTCCTGCGCTGAGGACTCCAGAGCTGGATACAGTACTCCACCTGGGATCTCATGAGAGCAGAGTAGAAGGGTAGAATCACCTCCCTGGACCTGCTGGCTGTGGTTCTTTTGATGCAACCCAGGATGGGGTTGGCTTTCTGGGCTGCGAGCGCAGATTGCTGGCTCACGAATAGATCCTTTTCATTTATGATGTATGTGAGTTTTGAACTCACTTGCTATATTTTAATTTGCTGGTTTTTTAGGGCCACATAATGCACCACTAGAAGGTGCATATTTTGTGTTTGGTTTTCACTAGTGTGTGAACAATGAGGTTTCTATATCAAATGCATGTCTTAAAGATGCAGCATGCCATTGTTCTTTGCATCCATCACTCCATGAAATCAGCTGATGCAATTGTGTAACATGACTAATTGTAATTTCATTTTGTTTTATTTCATCCTATGTAAGTTAATGAGGAGTTTACTTCTATTTCCATTCATTTCATTAGGTGATATTTTGCATTGTGTTTTGAATTATGCCTTCTGTTAAAGCCTGTCTGTTTTGCAAAATAGCTCTTCAACCGATCTCCGGTTCAGCATGGCTCTGTGTGATGAGGAGAAGAAATTCCGGCAACAGCGAAAAGATAATATCATGCGCAGTATGAAAACATTTCTAGGAGAGGAAAACAGCAAGAACTTGACGACGTCCCGTGATGTAAGTTTGGAGAGCTCACATCAAGATTAGTATTGCCTTTGGAGTCCTGCACTTGTCTCTCAAAGGAGTGAACGAGACATATGAGGTAGAAGGGTTTTATATAAAGACAGATGGCAGAAGCAAAAAACAAATGCTTTTTTCCTCTGTGCGCATACTGTATTTGGGCTAGAGAATAATTATTCTTGTGCTCTAGATTTATAGATTAAGGAGAAAAAATCCTGTGTCAAAATGAAGCTGCACTTAAATAAGATATGACCATTATGTGCAGAAGGACAATACTGTGTAAATGCCTTGTATAGAAATCACAGCCTTTCATTTCCAGTGGCACCTCAAACAAACTGCTGTAACTTTTATCTGTTTCTTTATTGTTTTAAACCTTAGCAGGATATGCCTAGGTTAAAATTGAGCAAAGAAGATCATAGAATCATATGGGGTTGGAAGAGACCTCTGGAAATCATCTAGTCCAACCCCACCATCAGAGTGGGTCTACCTATAGCAGGTTGCACAGGAACTTGTCCAGGCGGGTTTTGAATGTTTCCAAAGAAGGAGACTCCACCACCTCTCTGTACAGCTTGTTCCAGTGCTCTACCACTCTCACAGTAAAGAAGTTCCTCCTCACATTTATACTCTTGTACTGAAGTTTGTGCCCATTTCCATGGATAAATCCGTGCTTTACATTTTGCTCTAATTCTGAGTTCCATGCTTTGTTAAGGTGTTGGTTCTACACTGAGATTAGGCAATTTTCAGATGACAAAGGGCATGCGAAATATCTGCCGCACAGGAAACATGCGGTGGGGCACATGCCCCACTGCAGAGTCTGCCCTTGCACACTTGATATCCAGGCTGTGCTCTTCAAAATGGCCTCCATGTCTAAAAGATTAGGCAGGAAATGAGCTGTTTTAATGTTAGAGCCAGCTTAGAAACTATTCTCTTTCTTTCCTTTCTTCTTTTCCTATAAAATCCATTTTATAGGATTAGGTTGGTGAGATTTCTATCTTACAGAATGTGAGAAACTGCAGCTTTCATTGACTCACTAGTGCTCTGTACCAAGCCAACAAGAAAGTTAAGCCAACAGATTTAGATGGACTGATGGTGGTTTGGGTCACATCAAAATGAGGAAGGGTGCTGAACCATGTTGATCTTTTCAGTGATTTCATAAAACACTTTGTTATTTTGAGTTAATTAAGGATACACTTAGTACAGATCCACTTGTTTCATAGTTTTTCCATCCTATTCTTTCCTCCTCACTTGTTCCCTCTCCTGTTCTGCTCCTAGAATCGTGACAGGAAGATGGTATTGTATGTGGGTTGTCAAACAGTGAATGTAGTCAATGAATTGGTTTGGGTTGACTAATTCATTGACACTGATTCCTTTTGTGTATTTGTAGTAGGAGCAGAATGTGACAATCTTTTGCAGAAGCTGAAGATTTCCTTTTAAATTTCCCTGAAGTTTTGAGCAGGTGGTAAATGTGTTATTGTATACTTTTGAACTCTTGTCTTGCATAATAAAATGTGGTTGTATAGCTTTCTGAGGAAGATGAAAGAATTTGACAAGTATCATACATATTTTATTTGTAGTGATAAAAATTGTGCATATTGTGAAGGAACACTTTCAAGGTTTTTTAATTTTCAGTTCAATTATTTTAATCTTAACCCATGGAAATCTGAGCAGAGCAGATATTTGTGAATGTGGCATTGGTCTGATCTTCTACAGCAGAATAAGATCTTTCTCAGAAAGGATGCAGATATTCTGCCAACATCCGGTTAGAACTGGAGTGATACTCACTGCCTGAAGTATCAGTTCTATGCAGGTGGTATGTGTGCATGAATTATTGTAAACACTATGCAAGATTTCATATTCTTTTCATCATCATCTTCCTTTGGTATCCCTCACTGTCTCTAATATTGAAATTTTATCAGTTAAATTGCATCTTCCAAGACCAGGCAATAATCTGTTTGTAGACTTCTCAGCCCTAGTAAGAACTGAGGTAATGTGATGCTCCCGTTTTTCATATGCCACGTGTGTATTTCTAAGCTGACTTGTCAGAATTTTTAGCTGCTTCTAGCGATGAAAAAAACCCTTTTTTGTTTAAATTAAAATATAGTTTTGCCCTTCTAGCCTGTCATTTTTACTTTTATTGCTACAGATGGAAGATAGCAGGAGGATTTATAGGATGATTGTAGTCTTAACATGGCATCAGAAGCTGGGAGACATAATGAGTATTCTTAGCTGCCTATGAATCATTTTTTAATCTCAACCAAGTCACTTACTCAAAGTTGACCTCAGTTTCTTCATCTCTGAGTAACAGCACATGTGCCTTGCAGCGATGCTGTGAATCTTTTAATACCTGTGAAATAATTATACATCCCTGGATGGGGAAGTGACTACTTCCAAATTTCCTTAATCTTGAGGCACATTTTGAAAACACAGAGCATAAGATTTCTCCTAACTGTGTTATTGCTTGGTTTATTTTTATAATTGCTTTAAGCAATTTTCTAAAAATACTTTAATCAATTAAAGAAAGCATATAGTTCTCTCAGACTAGATTTGCAGAACAATTTTTTGATTATCGTGTGTGTACCCCGTGGCAATTTTTTTTCCACCACAGGTATTCTTGTCCAGATTTTGTGCACTGTGCTTCCAGGTGCACCATCTGCACCACTCATTCCCACGAGATTGAATATATTTTCACATTTTTTATGCCAGATTACTGGAAAATATGATTGAGATGCATTTTTCAGAGCTCACTTCTCTTAAAACATATCTTGTTTCTGAAGTCCTTTTCATTTTTGTTCCCAGTTTGGTGATAAAACAGTCGGCATTTGTTGATTGAAGTGGAACTGTGTGGTGCTGAACTTGTCTACACCCAGTCCAGCACCCCATGGATCCTAGAAACCGTACAGATGTATTGACAAAACACTTCACCAGTGTTGTTAAATCCAGTTCAGTGCAGTTTGCTTGGATGATATCTCGGCTGCTTTGTTCAAAAGTAGCTTGGCTTCCTCAGCACTGTGCTGTGCAGACCGACCACAGGAAATAAGAAAAGCCGTGGTGGAATGGCCTTTTAGTTGTTCAGAAGTCGGCACAACCCTGTAGAACTGAGTGTGGGCAGGTATAAGAGCAATGGGCTTTTGTCTCCAAAGCTTTTCAATTCAGTTCACACTTTTGCTGTTGACTCACCTCATCACTTTCTTGTGAGTCACTTACCCTTCTGGTCTAAGTTTACCAAGCTGCTCAAATGGCTTTGGTACCTCTGCCCCAGTTTCACTGGTTGTGTACAAAGGACTTCGGGCTCCATGTGCCTCAGCCCCAGCCCGTTGTACATGAAGAAGCCTGCACACCTGGATATCCTGTCTTTTCTCCAGTCTTTATCAGTCCTGAGATGGCTTCTTGGTTTGTTTCCTTTTGTGCTCTGTCTGCAGCTACTTCCCTCCCTACCTCTGCCCTATATATATCCTAGAGGGCAACTTGTAAGATGGGTGTATGCAATTTGAAATGTTACCATGTTTTGTTCTTAAATATGTTGGAAATCGAATTGCAGCTAAAAAGCTGCTTTAACAAACCTACCTGCTTGGAAATGTCCTTTACTTTCCTCTGCAAAGCAGGAAAGGACTCTTAACCTTCGTCATGTAACTAATGTCTACAAATTTATTCAGTTGGCTGAAAAAAATTAATGTAAATGTGCAGTAGATGCTTCTTTTCTGCTATTTCTTTATTATTTAAAATCTTTTTTAACTCTGGGAAGCTTACTTAAGCTGCTGCCCTCTGTTCTAGAGCTCCTTAGTTGAATTTCATTTCTGGAAGTAAAGTAGTGATTGGAGTTCTTCATACTTTGCTTTGGTATCAAGTGGAAATGAACTATACATCCACCTACCTCTCAGTGCACCCACCCTCCCCCAGTATAGGAATCTATGGTTCCCAGAATGCCTATGGATTAGGTATACAGGAAGCATTTGCAGTCTGGATGCCGGTGACTCTTCTTGACATTCTTTGTTGATTGTCCTTACGGATTTCTCTGTATCCTGAAAAAAACCTCAGATTTTCCCTTGAGCTCATGCCACTTCACTGATGAATAGATCTGTTGAATAGTGGTGCTTTGGAAGTGTTCTCGCATACTTTTTCCAGGCTTGCACCTGCAAACCACCATCTCCATCCTGTTGGGATTTGCCTGTGTAGGTTAATTAGGTGGTGTTTGTAAAGAGCTTTCAAAGCCTAACATACATTACTAAATTTGTGATTAGTAATATGGCTCTTCTCTTCAAAGCAACTGCTCTGTTATTGGGGTGTTGGCTTAACAAAACAGGCATGTGCTAAATCTTTACCTTTGTTTTGTCATTTTTTGATAGATAGCTATCTCTGGAGGTGCATGACGAATGCTGATGCCAGTAAATACCTGTGGTTTCTATTACTAAAGCCTAACACTTATGAGGAAGATGATCAAATAGTCTTACTGCATCAAGAACAAGCAATTTTTGTGGAACGGAAGCCTTGAGAAACATCTCGACTTCCTTGGTCATTGTGCATGGTCATTTCCGTCTGCAAGGGAGTTTCACGGCATGGAGAGAGGAGTCTGCAGAAAGCAACTGAACTCAGTAGTCACATGGTTCCTTTTCTTACAACTAATCCCATCTATTGACACCTTAAATTATGTTTCAGTGAAATTTTTGACTGATTACCAGTTTGATCAGATAGGGGCTTTCTGCAGCACTGTGTAATTCTTTTTTATGGTTATCACCATTGAACATTGGAAAATTCTTCCAGGGTTTGGAAACTGGGAACCAGGTGGGACCTTTGCTTAGGCTAAAACACTTGATGGTAGAAAGTGAATTTTTATTTTATTTTATTTTTATTTATTTATTTATATTTTGTTGTCTTTATAGTTACTTGGGGAAACTGTGCAGTGGAAGGAAACAGCTTTGAAGTCAGGGCTGGGAAGTAAGAAGCGAAGAAGTATAAAATAAGCTCCCTGTAGACACATTTCAGCATAGTGTCACTTGTATCTGGGTCTGCTTTGGCTTGCTTTGCTATCTCTTGGTGGCTGAGTAGGTGTACAGATACACATAAATTTTTCTTACCTCTCCTGTAGTTTTTGCAAGGTAGCTGTAAATTTGAGACTGTCTTCACGCTGTGTAGTAATATCAGATGTTTTTATTAAAAAATGTGTTTTTAAACTACTAGCCAAAATATTATTTGTCTCTTTTCTGTTTCTGATTAGTAACTTTTACTGCTTTTGGCTCTGTCACAAAGATATAATTTGGGTTAAAGCTGGTGTTTGGATTCTTTAAAAATTTCTGTGGTCTTGTAAACTAAATAGTTTATTTTACAAGTAAATTTAATATCGTCTCTAGTTTGGATTATGGGTAAGAAGGACAGACATTCTAAAGAAATTCTAAGTGTATTTTTATTTAGAAATCTTAATAAAAGTGGAGACATTTCAAATAAATTCTAATTCCTCAGATACCAGGCAATTAGATTTCTAAGTGCCAGGGCATCGTGGCGGCAACAACTTACGAATCCTGAGACCTGACATGTTCTATTCACACAATTTGTAGACATTGGTTGTATTTTAAGGTCTGAAGCAGTGCCACAAATCAGTTCAGTGAGTGAATTGAACTTGAAATTCTATACATTATTTCAATAGACAGGAAGCTAACGAGGGTCATAATGATAGTATTTGACTTTCACTACAGACATAAATATATTTTACTACTTGACCTGAAGGATCAGAAAAATCGGGCGTCACCTTTCTGTGCCTGTAAGGAACCTAAAATGGAGGATTCTGCGCAGTGATAATACTGTGCCCTGTTGTGCTAACAGTGGTAGTGAATAAAAAGTACGATGTAACAGAGTCTTAGAAATACTGTTCGGAATGTGGTAGTGAATAAAAAGTATGATATAACAGAGTCTTAGAAATACTGTTCGGAATGGACCTCTGGAGGTCAGCTAGTTCCAGTTGTCTCTGGGAGGAGCGCTGTTGCTAACACTCAGTTTACTGCCAACAGAGAAAATGGGGGGGGGATTCTGCCTAGCAAGTCCCAGAACAATCCAGAGTTTAGCGAATTCTAGAGTCCTAACTCTGATGCTCACTTCCTACCTTGGTCTGATCCTGAACTCAATCACTGTATGAGGACTTCAACCCCAACAGCACCTGGTGGCTGCATTTGCCCGTGGCTCTGTGCTATATGTGTGCAGCAGGTAAGGTACAGCATTAGTCAGCCCCTCCAGCGATTGCATTAGGAGGTTGTCACCAAGGACAACCTACAATTTACAAACTTCCTGGATGGCTTGTACAATGCTGACCTTTGTGCAGGGGATTACAATCCCTGTGAGGACCACAGTCAGATCAGGAGACTTCTGGCTTTTAGAGAAAGCCCTACACGCTTCATCCCATGGTCAGCAGTCTGAATCAGACTGCCGCAGCATCCCTGGTCTTATTTTCTTTCTGATCATGACCCAGGTTTCATCCTGATGTTTTTTGCAATCAAAGAGCACACCCCCTTTGCACCCTTTTTCCTTGCCTGTCTTCCCAGCCTCCATCCATCTATGGCAGTGTGCCAAGCACGCCTGCTGTCCCACCAAGTCTGTGGCATTCAGATTGTCATAGACCTGTGACTGCACTTGAACTTCCGATTTTTCTTGTTTAATGTCCAATCTCTGTACATCAATGTAGATGAGGTGAGCCTCTGAACACTCTTCCTTCTGAGCAAGAACATGCAGGTCTCACTACTAGCTTTCTTCCATGCGTTCCTCCTGCATTTGCACCCTTTGCTTACTTAGGTCCCTGTCATTGAAGTTAGTCTAAAGTCTTCCTTGCTAAATTAGCAGTTTTGTTTATGAAGGCTTACTTCACTCTATTGATCAGATGGATTCTTTATTTTCTTGTGGACCATCTTCATAAGCAAGCAAGGCTTCATGGTCAGGAAGCTGAGAGTCTCACTAGTGACACCACCTGAGCCTGATAGCATCTGCTTGAGCCTTTCTTCTTCCAGACTGGAAAGATCAGGTCAACAGGCCACAGCCCCAGGTGCCTCTGCCCCTCATTCTTGCTTCAGGAGGGGGCAAAGCACCTCTCATCTGCTCAGGGTCCCCCCTGCTTCTATCAGTGTTGCCCACATAGATGAACGGTGAGGAGTAGCATCTGGAAGGCCAAGTGAGACTCTGCAATTTCTCCATGCCATCATGGATCTGGAGTCTAGGCAAGTAGCCAGCCTCCCTAAATGATTGGTCTGGCTGGCAGGTTGACCTGTGTCCCATGGAAAAGGGAGTCATCAGCTACTGTCACTTGTCACTTTCTTATCCAGTAACCTATGATCTCTCACTGCTAGAAGAAGCAAGCTTGCAGCTCCCCTTCTCCTGGGAATTCCTGCTTTCTTCCTGGCCTTTCATTGCCTTAGTCATACCTTCCTTCTTGCCTGCATGGGGGCTAGGCACATTTAGATTCCCTTTGTATCCCTGCATGCCAGGTACTTTGTTGCATCCTGGTTGCTAATGGTCCCTAGGTACAAGATAAATAGGAAGCTGGAAGGAAGCCTGCACTGCCACTCTATGAAATTTCCACCTTGGCAGACAGACCCTCTCATGTTGCTGGCTGGTTCCTGGCTTCTTTTGTTCTTGAAGGGCAGTGTTCTCCTCCTGTGATGCAAGCCAAAAGTGCTTCTGCCATCTAGATCTTTGTGAACCAGAAGGGACTGAGTAAATGACATAAAAATATTGTACATCACTCCTGGGCCCAGAGCACCTAAGATGGACAGGTAACTCCATGGGTGGGATTATGGTACCGCCTCATTCGACACACAGTGTTTAAAAGTCATATCTCAAAGTGTTTTAGTACAGCATTTTGCAATTCTCTTACACACGTACCACTAAGAAACTGCAGAATACCTTCTTTTTAGCTTGTTAGAACTTTTGTGCACAGTTTTAGAAAAGCACTGGTTTCTTCTGTGCTCTGAGGATCTCTGGATGTTGACCTGTTGATTGCATAAGGCCAGTATGTTTGGCGAGTGATTGATGAGTAAGGTTTATTTAGTACTTTTAAGTCTTTATCAGAATTAATGTGATGATATGCTACTCTTCTTATCTCTGCAGGTACCAGTGATAGCGATATTGGGATCGGGAGGTGGATTTCGTGCCATGGTAGGCTTTGCTGGAGTCATGAAAGCACTTTATGAATCAGGAATTTTAGACTGTGCAACTTACATTGCTGGTCTCTCAGGATCCACGTGGTAAGGGCTTTTTTCTTTTTCTTTTGTTTTTCTTCAGTTTTTCTTTAGGAAGCTCAAGAATTTTCTTGAGAGTTGACTTATTTCTAATGTTGTAATTCACAGCAAAGTTTGTGCATGCACTATCAGCACAGAAAAGACATACAGAGCCTGCAGTCTTGCAGCAGGTCAGTGGAGCAGATCTGCTGTAGGAGGTGTTTCAGAATGCCTCGAAGGGTGAGGACAGCTCAGTCTCCAGGTGATCTGCCTGAGAGCTTTCATAGCAAACATGAATGAAAAGAGGTGCTAAAGAGGTATTTTTTGTGGTGTTTTACTGTTCTGATGAAATGGGGGAAAAAAATAATTCCTTGCGATTTCAAGATGATGACTCATTCAATCCAAAATGGATTGTATGCTTTTGGGGCACTTTTCAGAGATTCTCAAAATCATTGAATCTTTTGCTCCATTTTAGACTCAGCAGTCCCCTTCTTAGTGACTTTGATGGGGTTGTGTAGGACCTTTTCACTGATTCTTTCTTAGCATAAGCTGATTTGAGCAGATGTGTTTCAGCTTGTAGGAAAGAATACTGACTGACTGCCATGCTGCAGGGCATCCTGCTAGAGCTTGCCACTGTTTAATTTAGAATCATGGAATCGTTAGAGTTGGTAGGGACCTTATAGATCCTGTAGTTCCAACCCACCTGCCACACCTCCCACTAGACCAGGTTGCTCAAAGCCCCATCCAGCCTGACCCTGAACACTTCCAGGGTTCCACAACTTCTCTGGAAATTGCATTGTTTCTTAAAATAGTTTGTTAGTCAGATGGGAGAAAAGATCTTCCAAGATGTCTCAATTAGTATGCGCTCATCAGGTAGTTATGATGTCCTCATGTCTGATTCAATGAATTCTTCAGCCCATGAACAGGAACAACATCACCAGGAGAAAATCAGGGTGACGTCACTGTGTGAAAGGCACTCTCTGGGCATTGTGAGCTCAGGTCTTTGTAGGCAACAGAATGCTTTGAACCCCAGTATTACATCTGCCTCAACCACTCTTCTGAATGAGAGGGCTTCTCTTCTCCCTGCCTACTACTATGAACCTGCGGCCTTTTGTCTTCTTGGCTTTTATAAAAACTTTCCCAAATTACACTTATTACAAATGTTGAAACTATTTGTTTTGATATTTCTTAAATGAAATGATGTAACATATTTAAAAGCTGTGTAATTTATATCAGCCAAAAACATCTGACAAATTCAATCAAAATTTCCTAACTGGACCCATTGACACTGCATTTTTTTCATTAAGTGAAAAATTTCAGACGTTTTTTTGGTCTAACTTTAAAGCTTGGTATTAATGGTCACTGGATCAGGATGCAGTAGAAGATGTTATCTTAAATTTTTTACCTCTTCAAGGGAGTATCCCAAATGTCACAAAATACGATTTTATCATAACCAGTACCAGTTTGAATACTGGAGCTACATCTGAATCCAGATTAGGGTTACCTAGTACAAGAAAGGTGTTGACAAACCCTACTGATTCCATCAGAGTGCCACCAGGCATGTGGGGGACTGGAACAGAAGAAATTGAGGCAGTTGTATTTGTTTAGCCTTGAGGAGCAGGCAAAGGTAGTGAGAAATCATACTGTTATCTTCAGCTACCTAATGGGTAGCTGTAAAGAAAACATTCTTTTCGGAGACACACAGAGAAAGAACAAGGGATAATGGCCATAAGTTGCAGCAAGAGAAATTTGATAAGCTATTAGGAAAATTATTTTGCAGTGAGAGTGGTCAAGCACTGGAATGTATTGCCATGTGCTTACTTGATTGGACTGGGTAGAATCATAGAACCATTTAGGTTGGAAAAGACCTTTAAGATCAAGTCCAGCTGTTAACCCAGCACTGTCAAGTCCACCCCTAAACCATGTCCCTAAGCACCACATCTACATGTCTTTTAAATACCTCTAGGAATGGTGACTCAACCACTTCCCTGGGCGCCTTGTTCCAGTGCTTGTGTGCACAACGTGCACAACTCTTTCAGTGAAGAAATTTTTCCTAATATCCAATCTAAACCTCCCCTGGTGCAACTTGAGGCCGTTTCCTTTTGTCCTGTCACTTGTTACTTAGGAGAAGAGACTGACACCCACCTTGCTACACCCTCCTTTCAGGTAGCTGTAGAGAGCAATAGGGTTTCCCCTCAGCCTCCTTTTGTCCAGGCTGAACACCCCCAGCTCCCTCAGCCTCTCCTCATAAGACTTGTGCTCCAGACCCCTCACCAGTTTCTTTGCCGATCTCTGGACTCGCACCAGAATCCTAACGTCTTTCTTGTAGTGAGCATTCGAGGTGAGTCCTCACCAGTGCCAGGGGAACAACCATTGACCTAGTCCTGCTGGCCACACTATTTCTGATACGGGCCAGGATGCTGCTGGGTAAGGTGTCATCCTCTATCTGACTCAGTAAATATTTTGTGTGAAAGTAGAACTTGACTGAACAAAACCCTGAGCAACCTGATCTGACTTTTAAGCTGGCTCTGCATTGAGCAGGCAGTGGGAATAGAGACGTCAAGGTTCCTTCCAGACTAGATTACAAGTTTATATTAATATCTCAATTCTTCAAGAGTAAGGGGAAAAGACTTTTATTGGAATAGCTAAATAGAAATGAGCATGGAATCTGTATGGGATGAGTTTTATTCCCTGGCTTAACTCCAAGGAAGCACATGAATCTGTTTTGAAATAGATAATGATCTGTTCTATTCCTTGTGTGTGTTTTTTTTTTTTTCAATTATTTTTCACTTGTATGAACCTTGCTTCCCCTCTCCCAGACTAGATAGAAAGCTTTCAGAATGCCAGAAGTGTCTATGAACTAAAGGAAATTTCTCATTCAGATTGAACTATAAAAGGTTAGCTTTCCTGGAACCTGGGTTTTCTGTCACTAGTGTTTGTGGGGGCGGATTTATCACTGTCTATTGAGAGACCTGGATCTACTTTTATCAAATTTGCAAAAAGTGGAGGATATCATCTGGCTGGATGAGGAGCAAGAATATTGCAATGCAGTGTGAAAAATTGTCACTGTGTTTCTAGGGAAAGGTTTGAATATTGCAGTGCAGTGTAAAAAATTGTCACTGTGTTTCTAGGGAAAGGTGTGTAGTCCACATTCTGAACAGAACTCAGCTGGCCATGGAGTCCTTTTTTGGGAAAACCCAGGTGTGAATACATAGTTGATCTAATGTAAACCGATGCAATCTATTTTAAATAGCAAAATGATCTGAACTGATTCAGTCAGAAACTTATGTTGGAAACAGTTGTATTTAAACAAATTTGCTTTTGCTGTCTTGGTGGCGTCATCTATTCGGGCTTTGCTTGATGAATAAATAAGTTGACACTTTGGCACTCGCTTTCTTTTCTCTTTTTCCATGCAGTCTATTACTTGGGAATAATGCTCTTTTCTTTTTTTTTTCTTTTCTGAAGGGTGGAGAATTCCTTTCCTGGAGGGGGAGAGGCAGGTTTTTGCTTGTTCACTCAGATGCATGCCTAACCTTGGAGCAATGCATTTACCTCCCTGATTGTTTCTGTCATCTTGCTTCAACCTTGTCCTGAATTCTTCAATCCTGCATTTCCCTTTCTCTGCTCCCCTGGAAGCTTGCTGCTGTGGTTGTTCCACCTACGACCTGACGTGCACACTAAGCTTTAGAGGCGGCGCAGGGACTAATGAATCAAGTTCTTACATCATGCATGTGACAGAGTTCATCGCGCTGCCAAGTTAAATTGCTGGGCAGCGATCTCAGGGCCACGCTTACACAGGGTAGATGTGCAGAATGATGCCTGCAGTATGGTATGTATACCTGAGCCAGCTAATTGAATAAATAACAGTGAAATGAGCTTCTGGGAGATTAGGACGGGCTATCTTGAGTCTTCACCCAAAGCCTTACTTAAACCAACCAAGTGCAAACCACAATTGTCTGCGTGTGTGTTTAAACTTTGTTTTGAGTAAACAAAACATCAGTTTCCAGAGTTACTCGGTGACAAAATCAAGATATGCCTGATAGGCCTCTTCTGAATCCTTGGAGTCAATTAAACCTCTACACAGGTTGCAGTTATTGTGCTTCATCTTATTATGAAAACACCCAGATCCTGGAAGGCATGCTGTACACTCATACATTGGAGGAATTTAGGAATAGTGATAATGAAATGGAGAGTGACAGAGAGCAGTACATCCTAGACTGAAAGAACTGCATGTGTATAGTTATAGGACCTCCAGTCTGCCAAATTTATGTATGCTACGAGAGCTTGAGAAGCTGTGTTTTCAACTTATGATGATTCTGTCCATTGCCCCTTAAACAGATAAATGAGGAAGGCTTTAATGTTTTTCATCGTACACATTATGGAAATGTATGTTGATTATTATAGATCGTATGCTTACATTTAGAACAAACTGTTTAGCTTTCTATGCCTTGAGAAAAAAAGAAATGACAATTTACTGTATAAATGGTGAGTAAATTAAACTGATTTAATCAGTAATTGTATCACATTATTTATGAGCTTATTGTACGTTTCAGGCAACTGACATGGAACCAGGCTTTTATACTTACAGACCCGGTTTTCTGTTTCAGGTACATGTCAACTTTGTATTCACACCCAGATTTTCCAGAAAAAGGACCAAAGGAGATCAATGAAGAATTGATGAACTCTGTGAGTCACAACCCACTTCTGTTGCTCACTCCTCAGAAAGTCAAACGCTACATTGAAGCACTGTGGAATAAGAAAAGCTCAGGGCAGCCTGTCACCTTCACAGATATCTTTGGAATGCTAATAGGCGAAACACTTATCCATAATGTGAGTTCATTTTTTAATGATTATTAGAGTTGTGAAACTATTGTGTAATAACCACCGTCACTGTTTTTTTGAGATTACCTTGGTAACATTTAACAAACCATGTTTAGCAATAGGAATATTTAAAATTATAGCTGAACGAATACTGGATAAGAAACTTCTCCCAGAGAAAGGAAAGCATTTTACAAGTTTCTGCATGGTCTTCATTTCTTTAAGAGCTAGGAAAACATAATGCATTCATGTGCAATGGAAGTGAACTGAACTTCTGGGTACTTGTAGCAAGCTCGTAGCATTGTGTATCATCTATTAAAATTACTGCTCAAGCAGTTTCAACAAAAAATTACAAAATGGTGTAACCTCTTTATGCACGTTTTGCTATAAGAAAAGCATCATTTACTTAATGAAATACTTAATTCAATGGGAAAGATCCACATCTCTATTTGTTTGGGGGTTTTTTTCTGAGAAATGAGACAATAGGAGGGCTTCATAACTGTTGTATTTTATTATTGAGAAATCCTAGTTGACTGAATCAGGCACACAGACTTCAAGGTCAAATGAGTCAGGTGAGCAGAATTTGCATTTGATGTTATCGTAAGATTGAAATGTGTTAATAGATTTGCAGATGTGTTTTATACACTTCTATCTTTCATGAATATACGTTGCCATTAGGTTTTAAACACTCTAAATACTCGGAAACCCTATTGAAAAACAGTCAACGCAACTTTTAGTAACTGGTATGTAGGGTAAGTTTCTGACAGTGAAGGGATATCAATGATCCTGTGACGCTGGTTAGAAGTCCCTGTTTATTAAGGAGCTAAACAAATGCAGATGTTTAGTTTAAATCTGAACCTGACACGATCAGTGAAAAATGGCAATAAGGTTCTTGGTTATTCACAGAGAATAGATTTATTACTAGTATGTCATAATGACTTTCAGTCTGTCTTGATTGCAGGCTTCAGAATATTTTCTGAGGGAGATGCAGATCCTTGGTTAGTAAATGTGAGCCTCTTAATAGTCCATTTCCTTTTCTTAGTTACCTTTGCTGACTTTTCAGAAATGGCACAGATGGAAAAAACATTACATGATCATTAAGGATGGTTCTGCCTGAGAGGTTTTGCCTTCTTTTTGTGTTTTACAGAAGCACAGGGAAAGAATGTGCTTTGTCCAGCAACACTGTTTTCTTTTTGGGGTGTGGGCTTATTTCATTTCCATATCATGTCTTCTCCCACTCCTTCCTTCCTGAATTGTGCAGTTAAAAGGCATTCAAGCAGATTGCTTCCTTTTACAAAGTCTTGTGTTGTGTTTTTCTTGGAAGTAACTGAGTTTGTTCATTTTCCTTCTCTGTGAGGATTTCGGAGAAATGAGCAGTCTCCCAAATATCAGCAGGCGGTTCTAGGATCCATTTGGACATAACCTCTTTCTTTTCATGCAGAGAATGGACACCACTTTGAGCAACATGAAAGAGAAAATCAATAATGCACAGTGTGCTCTCCCACTCTTTACCTGTCTTCACGTCAAACCAGATGTCTCAGAGCTTATGTTTGCGGGTATGTTTTCCATCTGTGTATTGAGTCACTTGTGGAAAGAAGACAGAAGTGCGTGTCAAAAAAAAGCCTGTTTTTTAAATACTTCTGAGAATAATTATGTCCTGCAGCTTGGTACAGTTTGAAATTATTAGTTTTATGGCAAGGGTGAGGAAGGAATTTGCCATGATATGAAGCGTTCTCTGGGGATTAACAAAATTTGCATTGTTATGAACTGAGTACAGGGAAATTTTAATTTAAAAAAAGAATAGGAAGTTGTGATGTTGAAGGATTTACCGAACAGGCACATGGTAAGGATGGTGTATTTTAAAAGCTGATTGGGCAATAGACACACTTGTGTTCAGCAGCTTCTGGGAAACTGCCAGTAGAGTCTGAAAACAAGAAATTACTTGGGGATAATTGATCATATAATTAGATAGATGGATACTTACTCCATTGGTGCAGTATTTGCACCAAGTTTACAGGAGAACAGGACGTATTCCTCACGGCATATAATGGAACTGAGCCTTTGCTTGGCTTTTCAGATGCAACTTTTCCTGTCCATGGAGATGCAAACATACTGTATTTTAGGTCAACAGCCTTCTATTTCTCTCATTCTTGGGTCTGGAGACTTATTCTTAGACCATTTTGTAGTCATTAGTTATTTTTTTTAACCCCAAAACAAGTTTTAAACCATAACAGCTCTTTAGGTTTCTGTGAAATGTTAAGCAGTGGCCAAGTTTTGTTTTCTACGTCTTACAAAAAAAAGTGATTTTGTATCAATTGAAAAAGAACATTTCTTATGTATGAAGTATCTTAAGTACATTTCAGGAGTCAAGACAAAAAGAAAGCTGGTGTTTCACAAACAGCAGAAAGCTGCTTAATGGTAGTGTATCAAACGGGTAAAGGGAAATGTCATACAGGATTATTCCTCTTTCTAAGAAGAGTGAAATTAGAATTGAACAAATAAATTTACTACGTCTTTTTACTTCTTGCACAGTGTAAAGTACTGTTGATAACACAAAGGGGGCTTTTACTTTTATTTATTTTATAGATTTTAATCTCATCTAGTAGCCTCAATTGAGGGTGGGTCCAATTGTGCTAGATGCTGCACAAAGAAAAGGATACCTATATATCTATATAGTTACATAGGAGACTGAGGGGGGAAACACCAAATGACTTGCCCAAGGTTTATCAATCGGACACTGTATCCACATTTCCTAAAAAGATTATTTGGAAAAGTTGCTGTCAAAACTTTGTTTGTAATGGAAAATGAGGGTGTAAATTAGGTTAAATTTGTCATGGAAGAATTGTCTACTTTGGTCCTTAGGAAACTGAAACCTTTTTGTTTGAAAATAGAAGTGTTTTGGGTTTTGATGACCTTCTGTCATTTGGGTTTATTTGGGTTACTTATTTACCGTATTAAAAACAAAATTATCTTTAGTTAATGGCCATCTCTAAGCAAGACCTGAAGCATCTGAAGGCTTATCTAATTTCTCTAGCTTTACCCATTGGTCTAGAAAAGGTATTGCCTCTGCCAATGGATCTTGTTTTTCTTTTTTTGAAGCTCTGATCTGTATCATTACATAGGATGCTAGTTCTTGATCGTTTCTATTGTAAGCTTCTATTTTCTTTTTTTGGAACTGAACAGCTGTTTTTGATTTGAAATATGTAGTAAGTTTTGAACAGAAATACTTACACTTTCTTATTTATTGGATTATAGATGTAGGTGAGATCTTTCATGTTGTTTCAAGTTGAAGTGCAGGAATTATATCAGATAAAATTCCTTCCAGGAGCGATGGTGCAAGATTTCATGCAGCTGCTAATAGCTTTCATGCCCCAGGCTCTGCATGTTTTCCCTACCACTAACATTTCTGACCCAGGTGGCGCCAGCCATACCCAAAACTGCAGTAATCATTTTAACTGAACATAATTACAGGGATTTAGTTAAAGACAACTTCTCTCTTTTTTTTTTTTTTTTATTTTTTTCTTTATTAAGATAAGATTTTTTAATGCTAAGAAATCACCTGAAGATACCTGAAGATCTAACCTACGTCAGGGCCATGTCCAAAGTGCTATGAACACAGCTGAGAGGTTGGACTTTAGTCAAACACTTAAGTACTTCTCTTGGTATAGAGTTCTTGTCTCTTGGAACATTCAAGTCCTACTCATTTAAATGACCAGTGTCTCAAGGAGCTTCTGGAATGGCAGAAGCTAATGCTGAAGCCCTTTAATTTTAAGGTAGAAATCTTATTTCCCTAAGCAGGATGTGTGATTTGCGAAATGATCTTCTTCAGTGCAAGTACAAAAATGAAAGTGGATTATCGCAGATCAAATTAATTCTAATTCTAAATTTAGTTTTGCTGTCAACGTGGTTCTGAAATACATATCTGCCAATTCCTGTTTATATATCTAAAGGGAAATACCATTAAATTCCTCAATTGGATCGTCAAAGGAATTTCCTTCTGCTCCAATAAATGTGAAAATTTGTGGGTGGTTTATTTGGAAAATAGGATGTTGTATTTGACTTAACAGAGATAAGCATTGCCCCACGAAACAAAACTTATCAGCAGTCGTGATTAAATCTTTCCTTTTCAGGACAAGAGGTTAATGTTATGCTTCATATTTCAACAGAAACACTGAATACCTTCAGGAGTGTATGGCAACCTGTGACCTGTGGGCATTTTTCAAAGCCATTTCTTTTGCCTTTCTATTTCAGAATCATTTCTAATTTGTTTACAGAATCAGTCAAATCAATCACTACTGAAAATACGGAAGATAATATAGATGTATGGATGAAATACTAAAAATATAGGGTATTTTCTGTTCATTATTGCTTCCTTTTTGAAATTAATTCTCTGATGTAAGCAACTCCACTGGTATCAAATAAAGCTAAGATCAAAATCAGCTAAAATCCATTTTCAAAAAAGGCATACATCATAGAATGTAAATCCCTTCTGAAATTTTCTGCTAAGATCAGAAAATGCATTTGAACATTTTAGTCTATATTTTTATTGAGCTCTCTATTCAATAAAATGTCATGCACTTTTAAAAATGTGTATTGCATCATTTGGTGTTAATAGGTTTCTCCGCTGCCTCTCAGCTTTGCCTTTTCATATTGGATTTCACTAGAAACTTTTTGTGGAATCCAAATGCATCTCCTAGAATCTTTCATAACTTTTGTGATACTAAATAATTTTTTTGCAACCTTTGTCACTTCCCTCCACGTTTTTGGTAGGATCACAGTGAAAGAAAATAAAATTGGAACTTAGGCCCACGTTGTATTTCACGTGACAGGGAGCTGAATTGAGGCATGAGATGAAAATCAGATTATGTCATTTTGTTTTTCTTATTTATGATTGCTTGTTTTATACTTCTGTTTTTATAACTTCATATATTTTCACCACAGTTTGTTGTGATAAGAGAGAATGAGAATGTGAATTCCTTTTTTGGTGTGACATTAGACTGACCTTCATTTGAAATCAAAATTTTGGCTTCTGCACAACCTAAAATATATTCCTGTTGGTTATTTAACTTTCCATTTAACTCAAATTTCTTTACTTGGACAGAGTTTTCATTCTTTTATATATATTCATCCTCTGTTTTTATTCAGATTAGTTTGCTAATTAAGCACAATTTTGTTTCTTAATTTTCAGACTGGGTGGAATTCAGTCCATATGAGATTGGTATGGCAAAGTATGGCACTTTTATGTCTCCTGATTTGTTTGGAAGCAAATTTTTTATGGGGACAGTGGTGAAGAAGTATAGTGAAAATCCCTTGCATTTCTTGATGGGTGAGTATGTGACAGAAAGAGACTTTAAAATGAAACTAATTTCCATAGTTCATGGACAAGGGCTTTTTAATGCAATCACACAAAGTGTAAGACAAGAAGTAGAGTTCTCAATTTGTTGAGAAACATCTATTTGAAAGATTTCACAGGCATGGATTGGCATTCCCTGTTTTTTTTGTTTCTGATACGTACATCTGAGCTTATTATTTAGCATGTTCCAAAATCAGAGATGTGCTCTGAGAGCAAGAAACTGCTTAAATAGTGCAGTATATGTTTTTTTTCCTTCTACCAGCCTCCATTCATTGTTTACTTTTTCCCTTTCAGGTGTCTGGGGCAGTGCATTTTCTATATTATTTAACAGAGTGCTTGGCGTCTCCAATTCTCAAAATAAAGGTCCCACCATGGAAGAAGAATTAGGTAATAGCAAATAATTCTTCTACTATGCAAAACAATTACTAGGCAGATTCAGTGCACTTTCACTCTGTGGAAGGATGGCACCCTGCTCATAGTCATTTTAAGAATATGGAATTCATGTTTCCTACATGCTGATGAGGTCAGGGAAAGAGGGTTAGTAATTTTCTTTCATTTTTTGTTTCTGATCAGTATCAGAGGTACTGAAAATCATGTGTATATATCCAACTATTTTTATGAAGTTAAAAGAATGCAACTCCCTTTTTTATGTTCTTACTCTAGTTTTTGGAGATCAGAAGCTGACAAATGCTTGATAGTTACTTGTGTAGTCTCTTGGCACTGGACTGTATTATTTAAGGGGTTAGTAAAGTAAAAGCAAAAAAACAGCAGAAAAAGGCCAAGCCCTTTCGCTCTCTCTGTCTCCTAATAGATGGTATTCAGCTGTTTGGTAATGTACTTCTTTATGGATGAAAATGAGAGCTGTGCCTCCAGGTTCATAATTCTGATACACCTCTGGAGTGTTAACACGTACTAACAGAAAATCTTTGTCAATAAATTTGATAATGGAAAAGTCTGTGTTACTGCTTTTTAAGATATTGAGAGACAGAAGGTTATCTCTCATCCATGGCTCATTTCACATATAACTTAAAAAAATACGCTTTGAACTCCAGTGAGATGGGAAAATACTAATGTGACTTGAACCAGAGCTGAAGATGTCCCAGTGAAACTGTTGTACCACCAAAGTGAATGGTAAAATGCCAGTGGACATCAGAAGAGCCAGCCTTGCACACAGAATGTATAAATCACACCTAGAAGCAGTAATAATTAATTTGGCACGGGGGTTGCTTTAAAGAGATGATTTGATGTCCAAAATTTGCATTTGTCGGTTTTGTTAGCTTCCTTTTTTGCTCATTAATTTGAATTTTGACCTTTCTTCTATGTAATTTCTTAAGAATTTGCGCATGTTTGTCTTTGGTGTGTGTTTGTCCATTGACAGTATTTGAGTAGTGACTGAGGACCCACTGAGTATTAAAAAGAAAAAGTATTTAAGGAAAAATACATGATGACTAGGCTCTTATGTGTCTGTGGGGATTTTTACAGTATTCTGTGTAAGTCTAAGAGGGCATTATTCTCTGCAGAGAAAAAGCAACAGTAGTGGTCATCTGTATCTGGTATTCATTACTGAGGAAAATGATTCTGTAGTTTTTTCACCTTTGATATTACAGTGACTCTTCCTTCAGTCTTCTCTTTCAGCCGGGCGTGCTTACAGGAATTAGATTTAGACATAAACAAAAACTGTGAAGTGAAATTGCCATTGTTTTGATACTGCACTTGATAGAACTTACAGCATTTCTTGGAAATTACAGCTCATTGCAGGAGTGTGTCACCAGAGATGAACATCATTATCCTTTCGTGAGAAACAGTAGATGTTTATTTTCATTTTTTAATGGAAAAAAAAAAATGAGTTGTTAATATGTTCAAGTTCACTAGGAAACAACTCTCTTTCAGTTTATTTTAACAGGCTTCAAATTTTGATTGGAGATAATTCCTAGCATATGTTATACTAGGGAATAAAGGCTTTCAGTTTTCAAAAGTCTTCTCTTAGATACAGGTACATCACTGGACTTCATCTTCTGTGTCCAGTCTTTGTAGGTTGTCAGCTTCTGAGAGGAGGCTGCTCATAAAACATGGCAAATCTATTTTATTTCAAGAAAGGCTTCCCTCTGTAATTAGTGAAAATAATCTATAATAATAAGCCTATAATCCATTTTTACATAAAGTCACCTCCACTACAAATCTTATCTGAGGAGTGGAATGTGTTGCTTTTTCAGTACTCATTTTGACTTCAAAATAATGCCCTGAAATAGTAATGAACAGTCAACCATGACCTACTTTGTTGTTTTGGAAACAAAGCTATTAACCGTAACAAAATGCAGAAATTTGCCAGATAATTTAATTAATTTCTGTTTTTATTTCTCTCACTTAATGTTATGAGATGAAAACCATTGTCTTTTCTACTCAAGTAACTGCATTGGCCTTTAATTTTCACACATACTCCAGTGAAACATAACTATCTTGGCTTTTGTTTTTCCCCCGCTATATTTTAAGGGTACCCATTCATATATGTATGAATGAAGTTAAGCATTCCTCTTTTTAAAAATTAGCTGGCAATTAACAGAAATGGGCATTGTCTTCCTAGTTCATTAGGAGTTACTGAGAGGACAGAAGCTATACATCTACATTTTAATCAAGGTGAAGGAAACGTGTCAGATGCGTGGTGCAGAGGTGAACAGTAGGTACTGCTTTAGGATTACTTCTTGTTTTCCCATTCCTTTTGCTGGGAAATCTGCCTAGTGCAGCAGCTTTTAAAAAATTGCAGGCTAAAGCCAAATATATTCCAATCGGATTCAGAACACAGAGATGTCCACAGCAGATCAAATCTCTTCAGCTGCATTTCCTATTATGAAGACTCAAATTGTTTTGAAATTCCTAGCTGTTCTGATAATGAAACCGTAGCAGTTTAAAGTGATTTTATATTTCTTTCAACAGAAAATATTAGGCTGAAGCACCTTGTAAGCAATGACAGTTCAGACAGTGAAGATGAATCACAGCATCCAAAAGGTAAGGAAATCCTCACGTTTTTATTTCATAGTTTATGTTTTTCACCAGCTTTCGTGTAGCATGGTCAAGTTCGTGGATGTTGGTAATTAGCCATAGCTGGTTTTCCTGAAGCTTACCAATAGTCTCATACTTGAGGGCTCTGCTGTTATTTATACCAATGTTAAAACTTAATTGCCTAGCCCAAGGATCTTAAAGGAGCCTGTGGCTCAGCAAAATAGAGAAAAGTTGAAGAAGAGACCTCAGGAGGGCCCTTGGCTTAACTTCATGTCTCTTGCTCAAGCTGATGATCAAATGATTCCCTCACAGATCTTCAGTCTTGGCATCAACCCAACAGAGCTTCACAGAGGCCTGCAACTTCACACACATCTCAAAATTAGGCTTGTGGAGCCTAATCTCCAGAATTCTGTTGCCAGCAAGCTACTGAGCTCAGAGGCATGTTCGAGTTGTTGTCAGCCTGGAAAAATCCATTGTTTTTAAGGGTTCCTTGATTAACTGTTAGTTTGTGTTTCCAGTGTTCCTAGATGTTTTCTAGCACCTTTAAAAATGGCATCTGATAGAGGAAATTCCTAGTGCTTGGCACGGTGTTTTAAACAGTGCCCAAATCGGGTTTCCCAGAGGAGGCACAACTTACAAGGGGAACACTGGGCATGGGGAAGAAAAGATCCTGTTGAAAATTATCCTGAGGTACCTAAACCACCTGGTGAGTTCTGTGGTTTTAGTCAGGGTCTCTGCCTTATCCTAATAATGCTTTCTGTATTTTATGGTATTTTTGGGGACAACAGTGATTTCTCACCCGAAGAAAGCAATGATGCTTTTAACAACTGAAGCAAAGATGGGAATGCAGCTTTTTGTAATTTCAGGATCTACAGGAAGAAAAGAAAAGAAAAATCTTGTGCGATGGCACAGTGAATTATGTCATTAGCTCAGTTAAATGATTACTTCTTCAGTTCCCCCTATGTGTAAAGTAACAGGGAGAGGGTGATATTACATTTTGTGTTTATTTGTGGATTTTCTGTCAAAGCACTTTGGAAACACTACATTTCTCTCATAGTTTGTAGACATAGTGGACATCCTACAAATCTGTGATCTGTAAACACTTGGTAATCCCTCACTTCTGTAGAATACTATTGTACAGATGTTGCACCTCTAAACATTGCGATGTGAGATGCTTGTTTTTCTCTCTACTTATATAAAAATCAGCTCCTTTAAAGCCTGAATTTGAAGACACACATTTCAGTACTGGATTTAAAGGATCGAGCCTCAGCCTGAATCGTGGCCTTATACAGGACACCTCAAAAAGTTTTGACAGTATGAATGCAAGGTGGTGCCAACTCAAGTCATTTTTTTCTGCAACGTCTAGCTGTAGACATCTTAAGCCTAGATGTTTCATTCTACTCTTAAGTTAATTGGAGCTAGACATTGATTGTAGGCTACAGTTTGCTGAAAGGCTATTTTCAGGTATGTTAGAATTCCCACACCATAGTATTTTCTTGTATGCAGACTAACTTTGCCTTCTAAAGGAAAGCTGGCTTTGTAGCAGTCAGCAAAGGATGGAGAAGGGTACACATCCAGAGGAACTCGGGTCTACGTAGGGTATGGATCTTGGCGACTCAAGTCTCATCCCTGAGCCCAGGAGAATTTGCATTTTGGGTGCTAGCACAGATAAAGCCATATCGTCATTTCCCTTGCCACCCACACTAATTAAGTCTAGATCAAGGTCATCTAACACGTTCTCAATCTATTTTCCTAATGGACACATCCACGCTACTGTACTGCAGATGAACAGTTCCACTGGCCTATGAAGTTAAGAGGATAGTTCCTCTCTATTCCTCTGCAATTCTTGCAGCAAAACTCCTTCATTCAGTCTGCGGCTCCTTGAAAGTAGGCTGTGACCCAGTTCCTTTTATTTTCATAGGGCCTTTATTTTAATAGACCCAGAAATCTTGGGTTTATATTTCACACATTAACTGTCTCACCATTGGTTATTTTCCTTTTCCTCTACAGGCACTGAAAATGCTGAGGCAAATCGAGAATATCAGAACAGCAGCCAAGAAAGCTGGGTGCAGAGGATGCTGATGGCTTTGGTGGGTGATAGTGCCCTTTTCAACACGAGGGAAGGGCGTGCTGGGAAAGTGCACAACTTCATGCTGGGATTGAACCTCAACAGCTGTTACCCACTCTCTCCTCTGGCAGACCTTCTCACTCAGGAGTCTGTGGAGGAAGATGAACTAGATGCAGCCGTTGCAGGTTAGTTTGCAGAAAGCCTGTGTTGCTGGGTAGTCATTAGTAAAACCAGAAACTGAGAGTTCTCAGCGTGGTAACATCAAACTATGAGGCTTACACCCAGGAGAACGGAGCGGTAGTCATGAGTGTTGGTCAACAGCAGAGGTGATGAGGTGACTGGGTGTCACAGAGGGCCCCGCACAGTGACTTCTGCCTGCTGTCTGCCTCCCATATCCCCTGGCAGAGTGTGCAGAACGGTCAGTACCTTTTGGAGGCAAAGTTGCTCTTTGTTTTGAAGGAATTGCTGGCAGAGGTGATCTGGCTGCTTTTTGTATGGTGACCTTCATTAAGGCCACTTTCTTGCTCTCTTGGACTTCTTCAAAGACTGTCCTGTGTTGTTCCTTTTCTCTTGTTGGTGCTAAGCCTTCTGGTGGAAGTAAAAAGGCATCCCTGTTCCAAAAAATTTGTAGCTTTTCTGCTGCCTTTGCCTCCCTCTGAAAAACCTGTGGAAGCAACACACTTCACTTGTAGATCCTTGCTCTGCTGACACCATGTTCTTCCCAGCATGACGGATCTGTCAGGTGCATTCACATTTCAGGTGTGACTGATGTGTAGGTGCATCCACAGGTCACGTTGGCTTAAGTAGCAAACAGGAATGCAGATGGAAAAATTCAAATTTCAGAAAAATGTTAATTTGCAAAAGAAGTTTGGTGTTTTCCCCCACTCCATGAAGGGTATGGTGTCTGGCACAGCAGCTGCAGAGAATTAATGATTCACATTCGATTAGTATTAAGAAGATTTGCTATAGACAGTGTTCATTACAGTCTTCTTAATGAGAGCCAATAATTTCTTAGTATTCTTCTGGCACTGGTGCTTTTTTTTTTTCTTCCTCGGTAGGCAACAGAGCACCCAGTTAAGGATGTGAGTTTCCCTATAGAAAAGTTACATCCCAGTGAAGATGCTTTCTTGGTGGAGCCTCCACATACAGTTTCTGTGATACAAACTGTAATGCTTTGGGATTATTGTAGATTATTACTGACATCCGTCAAGTGCAGGAACTACAAATCTGAAAGTGGGGTTCCTTCCATGTTCTTGTTAGTGGCACAGCACTGCCACCCATCCCTCCTAATAATTGTAGTCACTTCAGCCCTTATTTTCTGTTCAGAGGACAGAGGTTGTCCTAGCTGGTCATTATGCAACAGTAAATACCAGATGGTGTTTAAAAGCTTAAGTAGCAAACGCGCTCTAATGTGTATTTGTTAATGTAACAAACCCCTTTCGGTGGTTGTATAGTAATTTCCATGTGTACTCCACTTTCTAAATATTTTTATCATCTCAGAGGTGTTTACAACTGGATAATCTCAATATTTATAGTTGTTGTAGAAGAGGCAGGAAAGCGGGTAGTAAATGTATGGTTGGAAAAAAAGACAGTTGGGAATTTTTGCATAATTAAGATGTGGATAATCTTCAGAATCAACTGTCAACTTCATGGGTTTTAATTTCAGTTGAAATAAAATGCTGGTTTGACAGAACGAGCCTGCACCTCTAAGACAATTACTTTTGTGTGCCTGAAATTTCTTTGGCTAAAATGTTTGGCAAAAGTTTGACGTAACTGTGATTTTTCTAGTGTTAGCTGAAGCCCACACTCATAATCCTGAACTAACAACTCAAATCTAACAGCTATGAGTTGCAATATTGTGGTGAAGAACAGTGAAAAAAAAACCTTGAAATTTCTGTAGTTAATATAAAATTGAATCGTTCAGTAGTGTGATTAAGTATATCCAGATTTTAATGCTGTCAATTTTGCTAATATATGTAAGAGTCTAGAAGCAGAGGAGTAGACAAGAAACTTTGGTGTAAATTTCAAATATTGTATATTACCAAAGCATTTATGCTTTGCATAAGTGGATGCAGTGGATGCATTTAAGCTTTGGATATTTCTTCCTGCTGCTGGCAGTTTACCTGTCAGCTTGAGTACAGAGAGAGGTCTGAATTGCTTTAGGACTTACTTTCTCTTTATTACCAGGCGCTCCAAAGGAGAAATAGATGAATGGAAAAGGGTATAAATGACGCTTTACATCTCCAGTTGTCTCAGACCTTCTGTAGACGCACTGAGTTGTACCTCAGAGGATGAACTCTGGCAGATCTAAGCTGATGTTACAGTCATTACTGAGGACTGAATTTAGTGTTTAGTAGCTACAGCAGCGATCCCAGCTGCTCATCTGAAAGTAAAATGCTTGGCTTCGCTTTGCTACCGATTCTGTTTATGCTGAGCAGTTTCTTACTTGATCTCTAATATACTTTAAAACCTTGCCCTCTCCTTGAATGATTTCATTGGGAACTCAGAGTTGTTTTGTTTCTGTGCCTTGATATTACAACACACAAAATCACTTGAGAAAATGCCAAGTGAATAACAATAGGGAAAAAATAACTCATAATCTCCGCTTCCTTAGTTAGGTATTTATGGAAACTCTGTTATAGTAGACGCACGTCAGTAGCAAATGCCCTTTTCATCTCTCTTACTTCCATTGAAGCTACCATCTGTGACAAACTTTGGTCTCGAGCACATGATCTCTTTTTTCTTTCCAAACAATTCTTAATACCCATTTGTGTATCCGATTACTGCAAATGGGATAGGCATGCTGGGCTGGTTTCACCCAGAGCTCTACTCGTAAACATCTTGGGCTTCTCCCAGTTTGCTGTTCGATGGACTGAAAGTTTCTCATGATATGGATGCATCTTTCATAAAAGCAGTCTGTATGGGCTGAAAGTTAATGTCCCAGGCTCTCGGAGCAGAAATACTCCATTCTGGCTTCATTTGACGAATAATGATGGATTGACTTAGCAGGGCTGCTAGAGTATAGAGAATGAGTGTCCTGGATTCAGGTGTTGTAAAGTTTAAAAAAAAACAAGAAACCTTTCTTATCCAGTGTAGGCTGTAGAGTAGGCAATGCTTCTTTTAGCATCAGGGTTGCTTATTGTACATTCAGGCTCTCCCAGGAACAATTGTAGGGTCACCTATGGTGACCTGACCTGCAGTTCAGTCTGCCTGTTGCATGGTCTCACTGGTGCATTGGGTGCTGCTTCTGGCCTCTGTAAATCAAATCAAATCACAGTCTCAGTCTGCTTTTAAAGTCATGTTGTTAAAGTAACACCGGATTATTTTTATTGCTTTTTGAATTCTGACCAAGCATAGACACAAGTTACACTTTGGAACTTTTCTTCTCAGTTCAACGATTAGAAAAACTCCTCACTTGGAGTACTGTGTCCACTTTTGGAGTCCTCAACATAAGAAGGACATTGATCTGTTGGAACGGGTCCAGCGGAAGCCATGAAGATGACCAGAGGGCTGGAGCACCTCTCCTGTGAAGACAGGCCGAGGGAGCTGGGGTTGTTCAGCCTGGAGACTAGAAGGCTCCGGGGAGATCTTACAGCAGCCTTCCAATATCTGAAGGGGGCCTGCAGGAGAGACAGGGAGGGACTCTTCATCAGGGAGTGTAGTGACAGGACAAGGGGTAATGGTTATAAACTGAAAGAAGGTAGATTTAGATTAGATATTAGGAAGAAATTCTTTCCTGTGAGGGTGGTGAGACACTGGAACAGGTTGCCCAGAGAAGTTGTGGAGGTGTTCAAGGCCAGGTTGGATGGGGCTTTGAGCAACCTGGTCTGGTGGGAGGTGTCTGTGCCCATGGCAGGGGGGTTGGAACTAGATGATCTTTAAGGTCCCTTCCAACCCAAACCATTCTATGATTCTATCATTCTCTGAAATGAATTATAATAAAAAGAAAAACCTTTTAAGTTGAATTTTTCCTGTAATCACAGAAGACCATGACTAATAAAAACAATCCGCGTGGTCATTATAAATTTATTGATGGCTTTATGATGTTTTATCATTTAAAATATCATTAAAATATTATGATAAATTTGATGATAGAGTCATAGAGGCTATAAGGAATAGGAAACACCTTGTTCTTGAGTGCCTTTTTGATAGGAAGTTTGTCTATGCAGTAACACTCCCATCACAAATACAAATAGGTGGTACAAATCTTGTTTAATTTGAAAGTCAACAGTGACCCTTTAAAATTTTGTAAAATAAGGTAATACAAAACTTGACAAAAATGTTTCTGCAATTTTTAGAAATTCTGTTGAGAACAAGGGTTAAATAATGTTTGAAATGTTTTCTTTAAAAAGGAAGGGGAAAACAAGGCTGGCTTCCTTGCGCTAGAAGGATGTGTAGTAATTATTTTTTTACCAGTGTTTTTTTTAGTTATGGTGAATTTGATAAACATTAACATATTTTCATTGATTTATGCTAATTCATTGTTATGAAATAATCTGGTTCTAAAATAGCTCTATAAACACCCTTAGTCCTTTAGCAATAGGCAATGATTTGAAAATGTTTTCTCCCTTAAAAAACAAGGTGAATATTAGGAAACTGGTTCCTTATTACTTAGCAAAGTGCCCTCTAGTAAATAATAATAATAATAACAGAAATAAAAAGTCAAAATATCTGTTCTGAGATTTTTTTTGCTGCTCATAACAATAAATTTTTTTCATGGATCCTGAAATGGTAGGAACTAGAATTTTAATTATGTTGATGGATTATCTTCACATTAAAATATCTTTCTTCAGATTACTTCCATCCCCAATACATAGGTCTAGGAAATTTAATTATACAAGAAATAATTATATTACTCTATTCAACATTCCTTAGATTACACTGCCCTCTACAGATTCGAGTTTTTAGTCAAAAGGCAAAAACATGCATTTTTAAGATCTAGAGCAAGAAAAGACTGTCAGGAGAAAAGTACTAGAGAGATCATTTAACAGTATCCGGAGACTTGGATGGGTGCAAAGGCACTTATGAAAAATTGCTTGCTTTTTCCTGAGCTGAACCCAGGGAATATTGGATTTAAAGGGGAAACATCATCTTCTTCGGCCCTGGGTTTGGACATTAGATACAGGATGATGGTAAGAGCAGTCAGTGGCTGATGTAATTCTGCCCAATGCTTCAATTTCGGATATGGATATGGGTTGCTGTTTCTTTTTGTTCCTAGTATAGCAGTGAGTATGAGGTGATGAGATTTGGTGTAGGTTGAAAAGCAAGTGATTTGGTGACCTGATTCTACTGAACAGAAACAGAAAAGCATCACGCAAGAGCAGAGCCACGTTGAGGGTTTTTAGGCAAACTTCAGTTATTTGGGGAAGAACAGGGGTTTTGGGAGGGAACCTGGGGGAAGATGTTTGGGCAGGGTTTGTAGGACACTGAGGGGAGGTACAATCCCATAAACACATTCCTTTCTTTATGAATTGTGTTAGGGCTGAAGGGGTAAAGCTGGGAAGGTTGGGGTCAAACCTGGGCGTTTGTCCCCCTTCCATTTTGCCTTGAGTCACCTCTGCTTCTGCCTTGGGACAGGGTGTTTGTGTACTTCACCTACTGAGGTCCCTTCCAGGTCTGTTTTTTCCCCCTACATTCTCTAGTTGTTAAGACGAGTTAAGATGACACCTGAGTTCACAGTATGCTTAGCTGGGGTACTGCAAATTTTTAATTGTGTGGAATCTTTAGTGCTTGAGGAAACACCTGAAAGCCCATTGCCATTTCAGTTCATAACGGGTATGTTCCCGTTTTGATTTGTTTTTGTTTGTTCTAATGCAGATCCTGATGAGTTTGAGAGGATATATGAGCCACTGGATGTGAAGAGCAAAAAGATTCATATAGTGGACAGTGGGCTTACATTTAACCTGCCGTACCCACTTATCTTAAGACCTCAAAGAGGTGTTGATCTCATCATCTCTTTTGATTTTTCAGCGAGGCCGAGTGATTCCAGTCCTCCTTTCAAAGTAAGTAAGATAGGCCATTGCTTTCTTTATGCTAATTAATTTGACTCAGTTGTATTCTTCCAGTTGGGTTGGTTGCAGATTTCATGGTTCCAGAAGGCCATAGTGCTATTGTATTAACCACATTGGAGCAGTTTGTTTCCATGTCAAAGAGCAATATTGCCTCAGTTCCTGTTTCCATGACTCGGATGAAGGAGGCTAATTAATATAATCCATTTAAAGTAATAGCTCTGTTGTTTTTAAGGAATTCTTGTCTCCGCAAAATTGCAGAATTTTATTTTATGTCATTATTAAACAATATAGTCATTTACCATTGTGCTAGTGCTCTAGCTCTGTACAGATATTTTCCTCTGCGATGCTGTGATGTAAATGAATAGTTTTCTTTCATCATCTTGGCAAAAAATGTGTCTCAGTCACTCTGGTATTGCTAAATGCGTAACACTTTTGAAGTGAGGCTAACTGTTCATTTACATCTCACTAGCATAATCCCAGTACCGGTTTAAGTAGGATTCTTAAATCCATTCAGGCCAGAGCAAAGCAACAATAACAAAAAAAATGGATTAAATGACATGGTTATTTTCTGTAGCAGGCGTGGAAAGCACAGCTTTCAGTTTGTATGACCTACACATCCAGAGAGCTCCAACTGATCAGAAAGGCTTAATGTTGGGTCATTTTGGTAGCTGACACTGAAAAAAGCAGCACTTAAGAGACTACTGCAAGATACTCAAAAAAGAGGCAATAAATATTTGAAACCCAAGTGGATTTTTAAAAATGATTTTTAAGGAAATCAAGAGAACAGGCCTGTTTGAGAAACAACTGACGTTCTTTGCTGCTTTATAGAGAAATTTCAATTAGAGCGAAAGGTGTATTTTTTTCTTCGTTGTGCTATCAAGGGACAAAACCCCCAAACAACATTAGAAAATAACAGGAATAGCAAAATGAACTCTAAATCAGTGTTGTCAAAGGCAAAGAAGAGCAAGCTTCAGGAGAATAAAGAGGAGTTACTTCTGTAATCTCTAGTTCTCTTGGGGACTACTTGGAAGAATTGAGCACTGAGAATACTCTTACTAGTGCGGAAATCATTGATTTTTTCCTTAATTGACTGCATCACACAGTCTGTTTCTTCCTTTAATTTTCTATTTGTTTCAGAATTTGTCTCCTTTTTTTGTCATGACTGTTTTCCCCATCAGCTAAATTTACTGTCGCAGCACTGTCATTTCCTCTGAAATGTCTTCTTTTTCCACCTTTGTAAATGTTCTGCACGTGGAGTCTGTGCAAAAGGCTGTGTGTAGTCATCTCTCTTCCTCTTTGCCTATGCATTGAGCCTCCTGTCTCCATCAGCTGCAATTTTTGGTTCCATTTTGGGGAACATAACATGGAGAGATTGATTGGAAGTCAAGTAGTGTCCTGAAGGTCTTTCTGTAAACTCTTCATTTCAAAAAGGCAAAATCCTTTTACGCAAGAAAAACCGGTGGGAAAATTAAATGGTGCTTTAGATTTTCATGAAGCCACCGTTGAAGGGAATGGTTCATTATTTCTGACACGCAAATATGTGTATAATACAAAAAGTGACGTACCTGCAGCTAATGCCCAGGTGTAGTCCACAGCAGAAGCTGTGTGCTAATGGCCTGAAGGACAGAAACCAGTTTTGTTTACTGGCTGTGCAGTCCCATTGGTTCTGCCTGCATTAGAAAGAGTAAATGCCAGTTCCAGAGCTGGCCTGTATGTGTGGTAGCTCTCTGATATGCTTTTGTTACTCCAACAGGTAGGGAAATCAGCCAGCTGAAGTCAATGACTCTGCTCTTGTTTTATCCCTTTACACCCACTGTCCTTTAATCTCTTGCGTATCCAAAACAGTTGCCCCAAGAAGGGTCCTGTTTCATTCAAAACTAAGATTAAAGATGTTGACCTTCCCTCTCCTCCCTCTCCACACACCCTCATTACATGCTTTTGAGTCATTATTTACAAATTATTTTGTTTACTGAGTAGTCACAAGTTAAAAAAAGCCTGTTTTCCAGACTGACTTCTTCACTTAGCCTGCTTTTCAAATGCCATTCTGTGCCGTGATGTGACTCTGAACATAACAACGCGTAGATTGGTGTTTATTAACTCTCATTGGTTTCCATGGCACCAATCCTCAGTTTGCAAGTAGAATTACGAATGGTTTTGTTTCTAGCTGTCAGCTCTGTAAATTCACCCCAGGATTTATGTGACAGACCAGTGAATTCCATCCTGTGAATCACCGCAGGTGGTGAAGGTCGGCGGGCTGAATTAGGTGCTCAATTTGCCGTACTGGGTCATCTTTGCACAGACTGACTTGATGAGTAGCGCCGTAAAGAACCACGAGTTCATGCAACTGCTTCTAGTAACCCATCAGACCTCTGTCTCTCTACATAACATCTCGCTTTGCAGTGGATGCTTATACACCTGAGTCTTGGTTACCTTTTCAGGAAATTTTACTTGCTGAAAAATGGGCCAAAATGAACAAGCTTCCTTTCCCGAAAATAGACCCGAATGTGTTTGATCGAGAGGGCATGAAGGAGTGCTATGTTTTCAAACCAAAGGACACCTCTTCGGAGAAAGACTGTCCAACTATAATCCATTTTGTCTTGGCCAACATCAACTTCCGGAAGTACAGAGCTCCAGGTGAGCACACGGTTTCCAGTGCTAAATCTGGCTGTTCCTTTGAAGCTTTATAACGACGTGCTGATTATATACTGGAAATGTTTTGGCTCTGAAGTAACTCTTAAGTCTAGGTATAGTGGTTAGGGATTTCAAAAGAGCCATTAAGAAATAAAATGGTAAATCCCCAGAGCTAACATACAGATTGTATTTTCCCATGTGCTGTGCATGCAGGCGTTCCAAGAGAAACACAGGAAGAGAAGGATTTTGCAGACTTTGACATTTTTGACGATCCGAATACACCATTCTCTACCTTCAACTTCCAGTATCCCAATGAAGCTTTCAAAAGGCTTCACGATCTCATGGAGTTCAACACCCTCAACAACATAGACGTACGTATGCCAGTGTGGAAGGGCCTTTAAGGGTCTGGGTTGTTAAATGGCAAAGTAGGCGATGGGACTAAAGCTGTAAATCTGCCATAGAAGGAACAGGGCTTTACTTCAGTCTTTGCCTGATTGTTATGACATACAAAGCGCTTCCTGCACTTCGTTGCACCCCTTTCTAGTCTCCAAATTGAGGCTGGATCAAAGCCCGATACAGTCAGCGGGAAGAACCTGCTTGATTTTAGTGAGGGCTGGAGTGTACCCTAAGTACGTTCTTCATGAGCTTGTGTAGGGGCATCCACAAGCTGTGGCGTGGTCAACTTTGCATCCTTCCAGCATGAGAAGGAGAGAAGAGTCCAGTCGCTGTAGGTGATGCAGTGGCTGGAGTAACCTGAAGAGAATCGGATGAGATACACAGTGAGAATTAAGTGGAGAGAATTTGGTCTTTTCACTTGACTTCTGTTTCTGAAGTACTGAAATAGCAGTGTTGTAGGAAGCATTACCATATATGATCCTCTGTCAAAGGTAAACTATGAAGCAATATTGCTTCTGAAAGGGCCAGAGGTTCTTTCCAGTGGGGGGGAAAAAGCGTAAAAACAGTATTTCTAGGGCTTCGAATATTGATGTGATACTGTGGCCATTTTCCAAATGGAGGAACCATTGAGTGTAGGCTGTGTGTTTTTCATGATGCTTGAGCCTGTGCATGTCAGAATCTGTTCCACTTCATATTCTTTTCTGATTTGGTTCCTGTATTGTTTTTGCCATTTTATCACCAAAAGAAAAGATGACTGTGTAGGGTGTAGACATTACGCTCAGGATTTTACACTCAGTTCTTTATGTATGATGATTTTCTAACTGGAAGAAAAGGAAATTGGAAGTTTTCTGTAAAGATTGCTGGAAATTTCTTTGTCAACTTGCTCATTTTTAATTGATACCAGCTGTACTCTGACACCAGCACCCGTAGAGTCATTTGCCATATTCACAAGAGTAAATGATCATCCCAGATAAAGAAATGACTTCTTTTCTCAATATAGTAAAGAAATCTTGTTACTTCAAGACAAAGGAAGCAAAAGTGAATATTTAATCTCTCTCAAGATAATAATAATTTCCTATAACCTTTAAGTATGGAGTTTTTCAATGTTTTGATTACCCCTCAGAATTTCATTGGGACTTGGTTAAATGGTGTATATTCTTGTGTGACTTCTTTGTTGTCAGTAGTATTCTGTCATATCTTTATTATCTACATTAAAATCAGTGTTTTATACAGTCAAGAAATAGTATTCATACTCAGCAATCACGTTGCTCAATGATGGAGCAGTGTTAAAAGCAGGAACAATTATTAGCATCTGAAGGAGTCTTTTCTATCAGTTAATAAATCATTAAAATGTTAGTTATTTCCCTGACTGACACCTTGTTCACTGTTTTCCAGGTGATCAAGCAAGCTATGATGGAAAGCATTGAATACAGAAAAGAGAATCCCTCTCGCTGCTCCGTGTCTCTCAGCAGCGTTGAGGCCAGGAGATTCTTCAATAAGAACAATCTTAACAACAACCATACGTAAAGGATGCGTTGTAGGTCCCACTCCTTCAAGAAGCTGGTTCTGTCTTTATAACTGGAGTCAAAGAGACATTGTCAGAGCGTTGCTGCTCCTGAACAGGACTGTGCAAAACTCTTGAAAACATTTTCTTGTGAATTTTCAAATTTCAATATAATTTTATACTTCTTTTTTTAACAACTAAAAACATTGAAAACATTTCAGTATGCCGGTATCCTTATTATGGAAACTATGGAATTAGTTTATTTTGACTATGGTCATTGGGTTCAATGTCTCTTTTTTTTCCTCGCAAAACTGTAAACACTGGTTTCTTGTCCAGGGGCAACTGTCTGAATTTTAATTGATGTAAACTGGGACTATCTCAAAAAGTAAGATGGAATTAGAAGCACAATAGAATGAAACTTTAGTAACAGAGACAATATGTACTACCTGGGTTTGGGCCCAGATTCCACTCTGCTTTGTAGCAACAAGAAGGTGTCTTCTGGCTTTGGTTTGAGAAGTCACTACTTGCTAACTCCTGCTGGGCAGCAGCAGCTCCCTGGTCTATTAAGTCAATGCTGCTTAACTAGCTCTGTTAAGAGTGATCTCTTAAACTGGACGAGGTTTTGCTCACTAATAACTGTGGGCTACTTTGGCCTCACCAAAACTTCCTCATCAAGCTGCATTTCACGTTTTTCTTTTCTTGCATGAGTGGGGTCTCTTAAACCAAACAACGAACAGATATCAAAGAAATGGGGTTCATGTGTCTTTGATATTGTAAGTAGACTCCTCAGCTGGTTATTCATGCTAGTAGAGCTTTTGTAACTGATGCCAAGAAGGATCTGCTCTTAAATCTTTTAATCTCAAATGTTTTTGTAAAAATTGAAATCAGCTTTACTACTGTTTAAGAATCACAGAATCACAGAATGATATGGGGTTGGAAGGGACCTCTGGAGATCATCTAGTCCAACCCCCCCATGAATGTATGTATCCACTCAGCCAAAACCCCAACCTCGTACATTTTCTTTTTCTCTTTTCTTCCACAAAATTACATTGCTTGATTTACTGAGCTAGTAGCACCTGTGCCTTAAATTATTATCAGTTCTTGTATTGCTGACCAAAACCTCTGTAGATAAATTAAAAGTGATTTTGCCTTTGATCATGATTAAAGGCATCAGGTTTTTGCAAAGGGATGGGGGGCAACGTTTACTGGGAATAGGTAGAATGTTCCTAGGTAAGAATATGAAGTAATTCATGGGCTATTTTTTAAGTACATTTAAAGACAGTGCATAGACATAGATTATTTTAGTGCCGTCTCAACAAGTCTTGAGATAACTCTGCAAACACACAGACAAACCCAGTTGCACCTCTGGAAATTTCCAGCCTCCTTTGAAAGCATGTAATTGGCAAGTGTGTGATGTGGGAGAGAGCAAAAGGAACCGGCGCGGTCGCTGACGGCCTTGCCCCGTGTGCAAGATCTAGGAGTCAGACATTTTTGGGGGTGCTTGGCTGGTTTGTTCCATTTCTTTAAAGTCTATGGCATTAACCCTCCACAAATGCAGGTGGCAGTCCCGGCAGCTGCTCCTGAGCTGCTTTCTGCTGGAGTCTGAAGAATATGAGAGGGGCTGAGCAGTTGAGTTCAAGGTGAGCTTGCTGTCTCCAAGAGTTAATGCAAAAGAAGGTGAGAGGGGAAAACCACGTCCCCATCTGCCCTGCGGGTGGCTTGTCCAGGACTCCTTGCACTCCAGTGCACTCCTTGCACTAGGAGTGTCATCATGGTGAAAACAAAGCACTTTTAAAGTGGGGTGATTTGGAGTGTGGTGCTCAGGAGGCAGGTGTGTTTCTCTGCGAGAGCTGCGAGTGGAAGCCCAGGTTCAAGCTTCCTGTGGCTGCTGGCAGGGTGCAGGTCTCACCCTCTGACTTTCTGCTAGGGCTGTCAGCATCCCAGCCAAGGTCATGGTCACCACGAAGGCCACCACTGTGTGCACAGACTATTTCCAGCACAGCTAGCTTTTGGTTTTGATCATTTTCCGACAAACAATTTTTCTGATAACTACTCGTTTATCAGAGTTTATTGCTAATTCAGCGGCTCTTCCTTTTATTGTGAATTATTGAGCTGCCTTTGACTGCTAAAATCTGTAAGCCCGTGGGAAGTAATTACAGTGCTTTTCTTTTAACAGCCACTGCATCATCCCTCCTTAAATCTCCATGCAAAGTTATGTGATTAGTAATATTTTCTGTATTGATTAATAGGTTTTATTTCTGTTTGAGTTAGTGCATGTTTAAAATCAAGGGAGAAAATAAAAGTAACTTATCTTAGTGCTGCATAATTTAAACATTTTCAATAAATTTTGGAATACAGGAAGAAACTGGTACAGTTATTGTAATATTTTCTTTTTAATTTTTTTTCCTTTTGTTAACATAATATTTTTATTTTTTATTTTATAATATGTACCTACTCTGTTTTATGGAAGTGTTTTATCATGCTTTATACAGTTTATATTATCACAGTGTTATTGGACAATAAAAAAAGATAAAATTTAACTATATTTGGCACCTACTCTTTTCAGACAGTTTGTTTTGCTCGTTTCTGTTGACATTTTTCACTTCTATTGGGAAGACTCCTCGATGGCGTGTAGGACCTGGTGGGACAGCTCGCAGGCAGGAAATGCCAAGGTCAGTTCCAAATGCAAGGGCATCGTTCCGATGGAAAGTGTGTCAGTATTGCAGGGGGAATGAGGCTGGGGGGCAGCTACGGCCAGCGGGTCGGAGAGTAAGGCAGTAGAGGCGTGAAAAGCTTGTGGTCTGAAATGTCTCCTGGAGGGAGCAACGAGCAACCTCACGGTGAGGGTGACGGAGCCCTGGAACAGGCTGCCCAGGGAGGGTGTGGAGTCCCCTTCCTTGGAGATTTTCAAGACCAGCCTGGATGCTCCTGAGTAACATGCTCTAGCTCTAGGCAATCCTGCTTCAGCAGGGGAGTTGGACTAGATGATCTCTATGGTCCCTTCCAACTCTAGAAATTCAGTGAAAATTCAGTGAAAATTCAGATATGCACAAAACTCTCTCGAGCCAACGCGGCTGGGACCTCGCGGTGCTGCGGGTGCTGGCGTGGGGTTCCTGGTTTCGGAGCAGAGTGTCTCTCCACCAGGGCAGGACTCCCTCTTGCTCCGCTAGAGTCGAATTTGGCGTAAGACCCCCCTAGTTCTAACTTTTCCAGATATTTGAAGCATCTTGGGCTCCCCAGAAGCTCATTGGTAAGTTCGGAACTGTCACTTCACAACGGTCTCCAGCAAGAAAACCTCTCTGGATCCGTGCCCATAAGCTTCTAGTGGAAAAATTCCATCTTGGTGTGATCAGAAACTTAGAAATTGAAACCTTATTTCAGTTCAGCTGCAGAGCAGAAGACTCTGACTATAAACGTTTTAGTCACACGCTACATTAACAATTACACCGAGGGGGAATAATAATGCAAACATCCCCTTACACTTCTAGCAACTGATGAGAAACCAAGAACATTTTTTTTCCTTAGCCTAAAATGTTAACCCTTTGTTTCTCATTTTCCCTTCCTTCAGTCCCTGGTTCATTTGGTTTATGCCTGCGATGGTTTTTTTCTAACAAATGCCGGTATGGGTTTAGAGAACGAATTGTTTCAGATGTCACAAATCATTTTAGGTGATGCCTGCAGGCTGTGGAAGTGCCATCGCGCCAGCCCAGGGTGACTGCCAAGAGCTCAGCCTTGGACAGGAGATGTGGGACTCCGTGTCTGTCCCTGTCCCAAACCTGGCCCTGAGGCAGCATTTCTTTTCTGTGGGACCTTTGGGCAGCCTCCAGCTGCCAGAACAGGAGTCTGAAATCTCTGCTTGCCTTTTTTTTTTTTTTTTTTCTTTTTTCTTTTTCCTTCAGCCGTGGAAGCACCGGCTCAGGATGAAATCCTACTGACCCGGAAAGCACGGGAGCGCGACAGCGTCGACCTCAAGAGTGTTTACATCAGTGAAGAGAAAATTCATTTTGGCAGGGAAAGGGGGCTGGGACGAACGCTGTGTCTGGCTTGACCCAGCATATTATTTCATCTGTGGGCTGAAACCGGAGAAGGCAGTGTGAACAGGCGACGGCGCTCTCTTGTACCACAGCCCAGATGACCCCCAGATCTCTGCTGTCAGAGCAGCCATAGCCTTGTTCTTTGAGGAGAGCCCTCCAGCCTCCCTGTAGGAGCCCAGAGGGACGTGAGCTCGGTAACGCTGAGGAGCGAGTTGTGCAACCGCAGGCGGCTCCGCAGCACATGTTTGCCCCGATGCTCACTCAAAGCAAAAACATGTAGCTGTTTCCTGAAGCCGTAAATTCACCCAACACTCTTACTGCTTTTGCACTTCATGCAGGGGCTGGATTCGTGTATGGCCGTGACTCACCCAACTGAGTTACATACACCGGCCCTTCTCACGCTAGGGACAAAGTGAGGACCGTCATAGTTTACAGGCGAGGAATTCCCCGTGACAACAAAACCATGGACTATTTTGCATGCGAAGAACAGGCGGTGAGGCAACGAAGTTGGCAGAGCAACTTGTTAACCTTTAGACTAAGCAGAAAAAATACAATATTCGATACAACGGGGACAGGAATTCCTTATGTGACCATTTCACCTCTTAGTGCCGAGCCATGCAAACTTGGCTAAAGCAGAAATTCAGGACCGGAGCCAAAATATTTCTGTTCTCTTTAGGTTTTGCCAGGAGATGCATGGGAATAGAAGACCAGAAGACCCTCAAGCAGGCAGCCATGAGCTTGGGGAGACCTCAGCATGGGAGGGGAGACCTGGACCCCAGGGATGCCACAAATACACCTGGAGCCAAGAAGTAAGTGGGGGCAAATGGGGTGCTGAAAGGGAAACCTTAGCTGTGACAGGACCACCCGGCACTTGTGCAAGGGTTGGGGCAGGAGAAATGTCTGATTCCTGCAGAGGGGACCGTGCTGTCAGCACTTAGGGCTTCTCCGTGGCTCCATCTGTGTCTGGAGTCATCAGCCCCCTTCGTAAGGTCTTGCCAGACCTCCAAGAAAGACCTCAGGGAACTGAATGTTGACCCAACTTTATGCTCAAAAAATATTTTGCCTTTAATCAGAGCAATGCTCTTCCAGTGCTTCCTCCTTGAAGCCTGTGGCCAGGCTAGAAGCAAGAACCCAAGTATTTGGGATGGTTTTGGTCTTTGTGTGCCCCTCTAACTCTCAGGCTGGGAAAAATAGGTGGCCTGTCCTTATTCAGGTGTGAAATGATAAATTCTGCGATTGCAGAGCAAGCTTCATAGGTAAAGTTATACAATTTCTTTGTTACCATTTTCTGATTTATCTTCATATCTGCTCCTCGCCCAACTTTCTGGATGGGACAAAGGGATGGGGTGAGTGTTTGCTCTGCACAGGAGCTGGAAACTCGCCTCTTCTGTGAGGCAGGTCATTAAGTGCCTAAAATGAGATTAGTGCAGGAGACGTGCTCCGCATCCAGCTTGTGCTAAACACACGTTATAGACAACTTTTTGCCAACATCTTGTTTAGGGTGTGTTCTGGAAAATATGAAACGGGATTAACATGATGACATTAGAAGAAATTGAGGCAAGTTATTTTGCCAGCGTGTTTGGGAACTGGGAATACTGATACTTCGCAGCTGCGGATTTGATACAAATCCTTCCTTCTGGTCCCGTTTTGCCGAACCCTGGGGATTTGCCAGAGGGTGTTTTCTTTCATGGTCAAACACTGTTTATGACACTAACTGATCCCTGCTAGCTGTCAGCAGAAACAGACACAGCCCCAACAGCTGAGTATCTGTGTGCTGGCAGATGTGGATGTGCAAGTCTGTCTGTAGCCCCAGGGCTCTTGCTTTCAGCCAGGAGGCTGCAGGCGATGGCTACGAAGGAGCCATGACCTTGTTGGCCTGCAGATCCCAGGAGAGATTTGGACCAATGACTCAGCTGATAGACAGAGGAGAAAACAGGTCAGATGATGTCGGTGGAGCTGATGGAAATAAAATAAGCCCAAGAACACGATGCTTGGTTCTGCAGCCTGAAATGTAACGTGACATTAGGAAAAATGTTTACACTGAAAGGGTTATTAAGCATTGGAACAGGCTGCCCAGGGAAGGTCACCATCCCTGGAGGAATTTAGAAGACGGGTCGACGTAGAGCTTAGAGACATGGTTTAGTGGTGGTTTTTATCAGAGTTAGGTTGATGGTTGGAATAGATGATCTAAAGGTCCCTTCCAACCCAGACAGTTCTGTGATTCTATGATTCTACGTGGATGGGGGTACTTGAAGGCTTCCAGAGAGCTTGTGACAGGTGGTGGGTTGTCTTCATGGGTTAACCACCAGAATCTGGTCAACAGGGAACATATGTGTCATCTAAACAACATCCACTGGACATTGTTTTATTTTTTAAACAGAAGTTAACAGGAAGGAGAGAATGCCAAAAAAGGCAAGCTCTAAACCCAGTGGCTCTTCATGTGCATGTGGCTGGAAGGGTGAGGCCAAAGCTCTTCTTGCAAAAATACATAGTGGTGGCTAAGCTGGAAAACACACACAGACAACTAGGCACAGAGAAAGGTTGCTAAGTTGAACCTTGCATATAGCCCTGAAGAGAATTTGCTATTTTGTATTTGGTTTCCTTTCAAATCAGAATGAGCAGCTGAACCACTTCTAAAAAGCTCACTTTGGTAAAGTGTTAACGTTACGCTCTAATGTAAAATTTCAACATTTATGTTCTACAGCGTGACGAAAGCCAACTTTCTGCTGTGTTGTGTAATGTAATAAATGTCAGACTGAAAAATTCAACTCCATTGAAACTTCTTTTTATAATTGCCCGTGATGTTGTAAGATACACTTAGCAAAACTGTGTTGACTTAATGGATACAATTGAATCACAGTTTTCTGATGGCAAACCACCATCGTGGAAAACAGCTTTTACTAATATTTTCCTAGTTCCTGTGTGACAGGACACTAAGGAAAGCTCTTGCAAAACACAAAACTTTGTCTTACGAATCTACAGGTGACGGTCTTTTGCCTTCTAAGTAAACACAGGTTGTTTAGGAAAAGTAAAAATAATTTAAAAATCAGGCCTTCAGCTGCTGGTAGAAGGAGGAAACAGTGCTCAAGTGCCTCCCCAACTCCAGCTTTGGCTGACAGCTCAAGGCGCTAAATGTTGTGACGTATTAGCTCAGTAAATGGGGGCTTAATGATTCATGAGATTTTTCCTCAATGCACAAGCACACTTTTTGCAGGACATTAACACCAAGTGCCTCTGAGCAATCTGGTCGCCCCTCAGGTGAGGAAGATGTAACCTCCTGTACCCGAATGAGTCCTTCCCATGACTACAGAACAGGCTACCACAGAATCAGTCCATCAAGCTGCAAAAAAGCTAATTAACCTTGGAATAGGAATTATTTCAGCATAGAAGTGAAGAGCTTTCATTCTGCCTTTGTGGTAGGATGTATTTGACAATATATCATGAGATTTTTTTTTCACCAATCTTATCCCAAGATGTTTTTTTACTTCTCAGTGGTATTTAATAAA